GGTTGCTTGATGCCCCATTTCGACTGGTTGTTGCCCAAGTCATCCCAGAGCCATCAATATCCAGAGTCCCAAATATCATTCCTCCCTACACTAAAGGGTTACTGCAAGGAATGAGGCAAAGCAACTCAAAGAACAGCTTAGTTTGGTCCAGTTACTATTGTCATTAGTTTGGGGCTGAATCATGCATCTGAGCTGTAGCTGGGTTGAAGTCCTGGCTCCTAAGACCTCTTCGGATTGGAGTAGGTGGAGTCCCTAATGCAGTATGGCCAGTGAGCTTCTGAGAAGATGGCCGTGTGAGGATACAAAGAGAACAAACGGAACACAGAGAGAAGGCTGCGCCATCCACCAGGCGAGCATCACCCAGGGCTCCCGGGCATCCTCAGAAACTAGAAAAGAGGCAGGAATAGAGTCTCCCTCAGAGCCTTCTGAGAGAACTGACCTGCCAACACCTGGATCATGCACTTCCAGGCCTCCAGCACCGTGAGAGGAGAAAGCTTTGTTGTTTGGGGCTGCCCGTCTGTGATGATTTGTGATGGCAGCCCTAGAAATCAATACAACCTTGTAGTGGGTAGATTCCTAAAAGTCCACCAAGACTGTGAATTTATAAAGTATCAGCAAAGAAAAGACTGTAACATTCATTTTAGTCCCATTTAGTCTCCTCTAATGCTTGAAAATCCCCTTCAGCATTCTTACCAAGTAGTGTTTCTGCTTGTGCCTGAACAGGTCCAGTGACCAGGAGCTCACTGCCCATCGTGACACCAGCAGTGCTCACTGCCAGGAAAGATAGTCTTTATGGTGGACCAAAATCTCTTCCCATGTACATTTTTCCCCAACTGATGGAAACTACCTCCCGGGGCCCTTTTGCTGTGTAAATGTCCAGTCCCTTACATTTCACAGCCCTTCAGATATTGTGTTCTTCCTCACATCAGAGTTTTTGCAAATGCAATTTCTCCCATATGGAATGAACTTCTGTCTTTACTACAGAGGAATTCCTGAAGGGCCATTTCAGTATTTATCTTCTGATAGAAGGGGTTATGCTGTGGGGGAATGAGGAGAGGAAGCAATCTCAAAAATCTGTGCTTCAAAAACCAGAGGGTTATTTCTCTCCTACACTGCACATTCACCGTGACTCAGCAGAACTCTGTTCACTGTAGTCCTCTGGGGACCCAGACTGCCAGAGCAGCCACCATCTTGAACACGGAGTCACCATGGAGAAAGAACTGGACGACATCCCCTAAGCAACTGAAGGCATCAGCCCAGAAGTGACACATGTCACTGCCTTTTACAACCGGCTGGCTGAACTAGTGACATGGCCTCACCTAACCAAAAAGGAGTTGGAAAATGTGGTCTTACCGTGTGCCTGAAAGCCGGGCCAGAAATACTTGACAGACAGCACTGATGTCTCTGTGTCTCCTTCTCTGCTGCCTGGTAGGATGGCTTGTTTTACCTCCCGGCCGCCCTAGGCATCTCCAGCACTTAGTACTCACGGTCATTATCACATTGCATTGTCATTATGTTTACTTACATTTTTATCTCTTCCTTGAGACCATACATCTCTCGAGGACTGTAAGGAGGTCATAATAAGTGTTTGAGTGTGTGGATGCGTTTGAGAATATACACAACATATATCCACAGTGAAAGTCAAAGTCCTTTTGGTGGCTTAGGGGGCCATTCATGATCTAGACCCCACTACTCTTCTAACCTCATCTCCCCACATCAGCTCCTCACCTGGCCCCAGATATGCCATCACTCCACCTCACCTGTCTCTCGCCACTCCTCATGGCTGGGATGCACAGCCCCTGTCATTTGCTCCGCCCGCTACCCGGCTTCTGATGGATCTCTACTGAGCTATCTTCTCCAGCCCCCTCTCTAAAGAATCACCTGACCCCACTTGTTAACTCCCAGGCTGGCTCACTTATCTTTTATTCTTCTCCACAGCACTTACCCCTTTCTGATGCAAACCTACCCAAGTATTGAATAGCATGTATACCCATGTATTGAATAGCATAAACATACAATGTGTTATGGTATCTATAATACACGTAATTGTTTTTGGTACTTGTTTTCTGTCCCCACCATCCCACACACTCTTGAATGTAACTTCCATGAACAAAGGGCTGGGATAGTATATACTTTTTAATAAAAAAAGTTTATTAATGAATAAGTGATTTAGAAATGAATGACCTCCTCTCATATGACACAGTTTTGAGCCCTTTTAACACCTTAGCCGCCCAGATGTGTGTGACTGATGATCAGTGTAGTACATAGCAGAGCAGCCCCTTGTTTATCCTTTATTCTGCATTTCAATTAATAAAGCCTATGTTTCAATAAGAATTTGGAGGTTACTCCTGACTGACTCATAGCAAGTTTAGTTATTGAATGTGTTTCCCCATATAACACTGTGCCTTCCCCTCTCTGTATAATCTTGTTGCTGTTGTTTGGGATCAAAGTGTAGGACTTAACATTTTTTCCCTCTTGATTTGCCTGTCACTTGTCTTCCTTTTCATTTATAATGTTATTATTTATTTATTGAGTTATCAACTATGTGCAGAAATCTGCACTAAGTACTACAGAGTATTGTGTGATAATTCCCACAAGAAAAAAAGTTGTTCAGTAATATCAACATGGATCAGAAAAACAAACTTTAATCCAATAGGAGAGACAGCAAGGCCCCTTCCATGTGTAAATGACAGAGGGCAGAGCCGTTCCTGGAAAGGTTCAATAACAGGAGGGCAGAAGCGACTCTCTGGGGATGTAATGCCTGAACACGGGGAATCAGGAAGGCAGGTAGAGCCGGGATGGGAGGGGGGCGTGGGAGAGCTTGTAGTTATAAGGGCAGTTGGTTCAGATGTGACCCTCCACCTGTCCCCAAGGTAGAGTTACCTCACCTGAATTTGAAGGAGGCTCTCCATCTCCCACAACCCTCGGGACCTCACCAGTGTTTCCACAAGGTTATGCTAAGGAGCAGTCTTTTCTGATGTCCCCCAATAGATAGGACATTTCATATATTCCAGCAGTTTCAGGGCAGTTCTTGAAAAAGAGAAAAATCAGAAAAAAAATTATTCTACCTATCTGCAAACCATATTTATTTTAGTTAATAAGAATTATACAGATAAAACTCAGTCGTCACTCCTACTCCTTAAGGTAGGTACGATTATTATCTCTATATATGAGAAACTGAGGCAGAGAGAGGGTAAGTGATCTCCTCACAGCTATAAAGGAAGGGACTGAGGCCCGAGCCTGGGCAGCTGGCTCGGGAGCCCGTGGTCTCCACAGTTCTGGTCTTCTGCTTCCTCTCCATATTGGAAACAGAGATGGGCCACAGTCCAACATACAACCTACAGGCTGAGTCAGAAGAGAGGGTTTCTGTGGTTGTCAACGATACATGTTGCTCCTAGTTCAACCAACCCTCAGACGTTGTTCAGAGTGGAAACTGAAGAGAATAGCGCGTGACTGGGGTTAACCGGGAGGGATCAAATGGATTGGAGAAGGAGCCAACCTTCTGCCCACTGAGCACTTGCTCACTAATTCATCTATTTGTTCAGCCTTTCATACAACTGCCCATCCATTCACTCACAACCACACCCTGGGCACTTTCCCTGTCTTGTACACTGTCACATGCTACAGATAAGACTCAGGCTGGTCCCAGCCACTTTGGCAGTCCAGGTGGGGAGATGCAAGCCGAGGAGGCCCACAGTCTTGCACCATCAGTGCTGTTAGAAGGGGACTTGTGGAATAATGGGGGTTAATTCAACCTACACTGGGGGAGCAGAGCAGGGAAGAGATGGAGAAGAATGCTTAGTGGAGGAAGGAACACTGAATGAGGCCCAATCAAAATCCAGCATTTCTGGGAAGATTCTACAAGTTCCACCATTTCCCTCAGAGACAAGATAGAGTTGAACTCCCTTTTTGAGAAAGCTGCTGGAACACAGTAGTTAAGAACAGGGGTTTGGTCGTCAGTCTGGTCTGCCTGCAAATCTTAACCTGTCCAGGCAGAAATCACTCCAGTGCAAGATAAGTATATGGTCAAGTGCTGGGGTACGTTGCCCTGAGGGGTGAGTGAGATACACGGCACGGTCTATGCACCGTGCGCCTTCTGTGACCTCTGCTACCTTCTCCTCAGACTCACAGTTACTCTCACTAGGTTCCCAAGTCCTTAATCTTCTTGGTAGCTCTAAACCTTCAGAACGAAAATTTGTAAGTCTCTTTTATTTTTTTTTTTACATAGGAAATAAAAAGGGAACACAGTTTTTGTAAAATAGATTTTCATTACCGTGAATTTATTGTACTCCTTGGTTCCCGGTGACTAGGTAACCAACAGAGGAGGTAATTTATTATTTTAGCAATTTCAACAGGACCCTGGAAGAAAGGCACCCTGTGGTCACAGAGCGCTGGAACTATACTAATGAGATGATTAAAAGAAAGTTGGGCTCACACGGTCCCAGATAATCACAAATGAACCCAATGGTAATTAACAATTACAGTTACCTGGAACTGTGTCATTTGCCTGGTTGGTCAACCTGTGCTGAAGAGGTGAGTTTAAAGGAGTTAGTAAGTTCTCTGAAGTGGCTCGTGGGGCCCTTTCCTGATAGGTATCTAGGGGAACTGTGGAAGTACAGGTAAGGCTCCCTGGCCCACTTCTTCTAATTCTCAACCAGAAGGAAAGGAAGGTCTGAGCTCTCCTAAGAGGAACATTCTATCCACAAAGCCCCCGCTCCCAGCCTGCGTGTGTCTTCTAGGAGAAACTTTCCTGCCATGGGGGCCAGAGTCCTTAAGTTCTAGGCCAGAACAGTCTTATGCAAAAGCAGTATCCATTTTCAGAGATCCAGTCCTCCAAGAACAAAGCCCTGGACTCTCTGGCTTGGGCATCCACTGTCCCTCCTCAGGGCCTGCCAGAATCTTTGTCTGCCCCTACTTCAGCTTTGTAGGACTAGGGAGAGTGGTGGCACCAAGGCGCAGGTCTCAGAGGTTGCATTGGCCCTTGGATTCTCTTGCAGATTCCCACAACTCCATGCCGTGTGCTGAAGGCTGGTCTTGAACGAGCTCTGGCTGAGAGAATGGGGGCAGATGGGGAAACAGTGGTCCTGAAGAACATGCTTATCGGTGTCAACCTGATCCTTCTGGGCTCCATGCTCAAGCCGTCAGAGTGTCAGCTGGAGGTGACCACGGAAAGAGTCCAGAGGCAGGCAGTGGAGGACGAAGGAGGCATGGGCAACTACAGCACATCCAGCAAAGAGCAGCCCATGGTCTTCAACCACGTGTACAACATTAACGTACCCCTGGACAGCCTCTGCTCCTCGGGGTTAGAGGCCTCGGCCGAGCAGGAGGTGAGCGCGGAAGAGGAGACTCTGGCAGAGTACACAGGGCAGACCTCGGACCACGAGAGCCAGGTCACCTTCACCCACAGGATCAACCTCCCCAAAAAGGCCTGCCCCTGTGCCGGCTCCGCCCACGTGCTGCAGGAGCTGCTGAGCCGGATCGAGATGCTGGAGAGGGAGGTGTCACTGCTGCGGGACCAGTGTGCCACCAACTGCTGTCAAGAAAGCACGGCCACAGGTAGAGTCTGGGCCGGGAGGGGGGGGATGAGAGGGAGGTGAAGTAAGGGAGCAAACTCTGCATCTTAACAAAGTACCCTCATCCATGGCTCGGGCCTGCCGAGTCTGTGAGATCGAAACGCAGCCCGTCCCCAGGGATTCAGCTCAGGGATTCTCGACACTGCTCAGCCAGTTTGAAATACATTAACCTGATTTGGGGGGGATGAGTCAGGTAATGGTACAACGGCTCAGCACAGCAACTTGGACGGCAAGCAGGGAATTTGATGTCTGTCTTCATTCATCTTTGGTCTTCACAGGCTGTTGAATTGATATCTATTCATGTTCACCTGAGGGACTAGAGAAGGCAGGCGCTGTGTTCACTCAATCGCAGCCTTTCTCCCATCGGAATAAATGATAGTCATTAAGGTCTCAGAGGACCTGTCCGCATCTTCTCCAGCAGGATGGACGCTTTAACCCTGTTCCCTCCACAAATACGCATGCCTGTGCACACACACACATGCACACACACTCACACAGCTCATCCCGCCCTCCAAAAGGGCAAATGCTCTGAGGATTTATGCCTCACTCTGCATGCCTGCTAACTAGTAGCACTTACGAGTTGTTACCTGTAGCTCTCTGCAAAGCCTGATTAAGTATCCAGAGCCAGCCTCCCTGAATTCAAATCCTACCTGTGCTGCTTCCAGGCTTTCAACGAAAGTAAGTTGCATAGCCTGTGCCTTCCTTTCCACATCTACAGGGTTATCATCCAAACTAGAACAAGGGGCCATTAAATATCACAGACCGGCTTCTGGTGGGCCCCACGTAAGTGGAGCTATTATCAGCTCAGCCTGCTCAGCTCTGTGCCCATCTGTTCTCACCTCAGGGTACCTTAGACCCAGGCATTTCCCTTCTTTGTTGAGCAGGGGCATCTGTTACCTTATCTTGGGTGCCAGTGCCAGTGTCCACTTCTAGGGCTCCATATCTCAAGGCCTCCCCGGGATGAGAGTGGAGTGCAGTTTTAACAGAGGATGTCCCATAGTCCCCCGGTCACAGCAAGACTGGGGGCAGCTTTTGAGTAATGAAGTATTTCATGGGTTTTCCTCAGCTCCTTCTCCTCTCCCTCACCCACACGAGAGACAAACAGCTGAAGGCTAGAAGGGGGCGCTCCGTGGCTCAGTCCCCTGTTCTTTGGGAGAACTGATGGGTCATTCATCTGTCCAGTGGAGTGCAGAGCAGGGGAATGTCATAGGTTTCCACGGTCTCTTTGCTGCTCAAGAAGCAGTGTGGCTTCTGTAAGTGGTCTTTTTACCAGGATTCCTGGCAGATGGGAAAAATCATACGAGGAAGAGCTGTTGAGCGATGTCAGTGTAGTATCTTTTCAGGCCACAGGGGCTGCATGAAGCAGCAGAGTGAATTTACTAGACTTCACATCCTCAGGGTCAAGTGCAGACAAGGATGCCGAGCAGGTACTTGGTGTGTGTGTGCTTAATGAGTTTGTTTAGACAGATCAATTAACCACTGTAGCTATACCACAGCAAGGGTCAGGAAAGGGATAGGCAAAGAATCCAGAGGATTGCAGCAAAGGGTGAGTGGGGCTGAGGACTCTGGAAGACTTTGAAGCAACCTGGTGCTGAGCTTTGATGAATGAACTGTCAGTTGATGGCAGGCAGGACGCCTTTCTCTGCCCGCTGACCCAGTGCTCAGCCCACACCCGCTGGCACTCCCCACCAATCCCTTTCAGTCCCCACAGCCAATAACGGAGTGAGCATCTTTGATACAGGACCATCCTGAATCTATTGGAACCCCTGGACCTGCCCAAAGAGAGAATGAGAGGCCTGAAATGTACTGCCCTTGGGGACAGCCCCCAACCTTCTCTGCAGTGTGACACTGCAGGGTTGAACCCAAGTCAGTCTCCCTGGGACATTGCTTGATAGCTTGCATGCCCTCCCTTCTGATCTGCCCCTCTCCCCTACCAGGTTTTTCCACTATGTACTTTCCAATAAGTGACCTTTACATGAATCTCCACCTAAAGTCCACTTCTAATGAAATGACCCCAATCTGAGGCACCCTGAAGATGAGCTCCAGGGGGAGGATCAGATCTCCTTCATCCTGGCCCCCAGCACCGTGCTAGGAACAGGCACCATAACACCTGAAAACAGTGATTAAATTGATAGTGTACCAAACTATGTGGAGCTTAACTCTTAGCAACACAAATCTGATCAGAGATCACTAGAGGTCTCTGCCTATCTCCCCCCGACACACACCATTTATAGGAGAGGCCGCTGCTGCCCTTGACCTTCTCCTTGACCATTCCAGGACAACTGGACTACATCCCTCACTGCAGCGGCCACGGCAACTTTAGCCTGGAGTCCTGTGGCTGCATCTGCAACGAAGGCTGGTTTGGCAAGAACTGCTCAGAGCCCTACTGCCCGCTGGGCTGCTCCAGTCGGGGCGTGTGCGTGGACGGCCAGTGCATCTGTGACAGCGAATACAGTGGGGACGACTGCTCTGAGCTCCGGTGCCCCACGGACTGCAGCTCCCGGGGGCTGTGCGTGGACGGGGAGTGCGTCTGTGAAGAGCCCTACACGGGAGAGGACTGCCGCGAGCTGAGGTGCCCCGGCGACTGCTCAGGGAAGGGGACCTGTGCCAACGGCACCTGTTTATGCCAGGAGGGCTACGTCGGTGAGGACTGCGGCCAGCGGCGGTGTCTGAATGCCTGCAGCGGGCGAGGACACTGCCAGGAGGGGCTCTGCGTCTGTGAAGAGGGCTACCAGGGCCCTGACTGCTCGGCAGGTAGGAAGGGGAGCTGGGCGGGAGGCTGGGCATGGCTGGTCCAGCACACTAACTGGACACCTCCGGGGAGATTGGAAACAGGTGCGGGAGGGAAGGTGAATTTTAGGTAAGGTCATTCTCGGTTGGGTTGTAGTCATTTGCTTTCCAAGACAGCTGCTTTTTCGAGTCAATAACAGTTGGTGAGGCAGATTAAAAGAGGGCTTAGGAAAGGTCAAGTTCAGGCTGAGAGGCAGATCCTTACCCCTGACTCTAACAAAGGCAACTTACTAACAGTGATGACACCCCACTGTCCCTGCAGTGCCGGGCGCGGGGCTGCGGGTCTGTTTTCTGTCACTGATTACAGGAACCCACAGGCTGTTGAATTATAAAGAGAAGAGGCTTATTTGGGCTCCCAGTTCTGGAGGCCCAAGGTCAAGGGGCCACATCGAGTGAGGGCCTTCCTGCTGGTAGAGTCTAGGAGCATGCAGGGTGTCACCTGGCAAGAGACAGAGAGCGCACGTGTGTCTCTTCTCACAAAGCCACCAGGATTCAGTCCTGGGGCTCCACCCTGATGGCCTTATCTACCCTCACCACCCCCCAAAACCTCCACCTCTGGACACCACAGTCAGATGGCTTCCACTTTCTTCAATTATAATGAGGACAAATTCCACCTGGGGGGCCCTTGGGGGACACAACCAGACCACACCCAAATCACAGCAGATGAGCAAGCACCTGCTCTCCCGCGGCTACCAGGCCTGATGCCATGGTCCCAGGCTGCCTCCTTTTACAGAGCTCCTCAGGGGGCGGGAGCCAGTCTATGAGGATCTCCGCTCACCTTGGAGCTTGCAGATGGCGAGGGTTATTGATTCATGAAATGACCGAGGGCCTACAAGCAGAAAAGTGCAGGCAAGAAATCAAACGTAAATAGGAAAAAAAAAATACTACATTCATCAAGCAACAGCGACATTCTGATGATTAGTACAGAATATTAAAAGGAGGGGGCTCATTTTGTTGCCGATGACTACAGCACAAATCTCACCCCAAATATGATCCATACCTTAGAGACTGACAGGGGGGGCATCTGAAAATGGAGCTCTCAATCCAACAGTGAGAATTATATTAATATCTCATTAGGGTTGATTTTTTTAAAATATATTTTGCCCCCAAACTGGTTATTTTCATTGTCTCCCTTTTGTTCATCCTCCTCTGATTAATCAGTGAGTGTTGCTGAGACATGTATTTGTGCTTTAAACAGCACAGATTAGTAATTGATCCTGTCCATTCAAAGCTCAGGATGCCCACTGGGAAATTTTAAAAGCAGAAATAACAACAAACATTTTCCAACTTTCTGGTTGAGCAATTCCAGGAGTTTTCTAAAGGAGAAATCCTGGGAAACTGGCTATACCAGCCTCCTGCTGCTCAGTATCTTCAATGACATTCCGCTCTGTGGCAGACCAACTTCCCACCATGTGACTTCAAGTTACATTCTTTTGCAAGATCAATGGCAATGATGAAAGATTAAAAAAAAAAAAAAGATAATCTACTGCCTAGGAGAATTTTTTTATACATTAAGTTTTTTCTGATTTTACTTATTTCATTTAGTCTCTCAATTTTGGAATGTCTCTCTACAAACATGGTCATCGTATGTATCAATTGTTCCAAAGCAAAATTCAGACAGAAGTTAAGCCTCATTGTTTCTGAATCCAAAGTCACCAGGCAGTTTCTGGACAGCAAGGATAAAGCATAACTTAGTTTCCACCCAGGGGATGAGGTTCTGCTAAGCCCCACCTGGAGGTTACTCTGGGTCAGTTTTGGCCATTGCTGTGTTGAGGGTATTCTATCCCAAACACAACTCGTAACAGACTCAGTGTTTGTATGTCTGCCCTTGCCCTCATGTTCTTGACCTGTCTTTCTACAGGGATGGGTCCATTCACAGACAAAAGCTTGATCTGATCCAGGGTCCAAAATGCATTGGAGATGAGCCCTCCTGGTCACCTCTGGGAAGACTCAGTAACTGTCAGGATTCCTATGACTTGGTTGAGTCCAAACCATACACACACATTACCTCTATGCTGCTTTAAGACTTCTGTAGGCCCAGATAAATCACTTAACAGGTTCCCAAAACATGTGAGGAAGGACAGTTGCATAATCTCCATCTGTTTCTATAGCAACCCTGGAACCACCTCTCATTGCATGAGGTACTGCTCTTAAAGCTTGCCTTCAAAACCAAATGCCACAGGTCTCTGCCAGAGAGGAATCTAGGTCATTCCTCAAGGGCTCCTTGGCTTGCTGTTTGTGAAAAGGCTGTCGGAGGGGGGGCTCTTTATCCCCTGCTTGACATTTCTGGCCAGGTGCACACACAACAGCAGTACCGCTCCTACCGCTCCTACCGCCCCGAGGAGCACAGAGGAGAGAGAGAAGGGTTGGGAAGGTGGGAAATGAAGAGTCTCAGGCTACACTCCCTCGGAGGTCACCATTTTCTCTTTGGCGAGGGCATGGAGAAGAGCTGTCCATTGTGTGGATTTCATTCTGAGGCTGCTTGGGTCCCCAGAGCTGGAACACAACTGAATATTGGCAGCAAGGCCACTGCGTTTGACTCCTCAGCTTGATTTTTGCTCATGGTGCACCATGGGACAGAATCTCAAGCTCTGCCTCTATTCTCTGCACATGTGTAGATAATAGAACAAACAATTCATGAATATGAGCACTTAAGACTTGCCTTACATAGAAGCTACTCCTGGCTTCTCATTTGACAGATTTCAAAGAGTTGTCCAGAGAGAGAGAGAGAGACTTTCCCAGAGCCTGACAGCTCATTAATGGCAGAATAAGAATGAGAACCCAGCCCTCTTTAATCTTCTCTGAACTGCTAAGTAGACAGAGTTGAGACATGTTCATTGTAAAGCCACAGCCACAAAGAAGTGACCTTTCAATATAAAAGCTGAGCCCTTTTAAATGTTTAGAAATCAAGGTATTAGAGAGATGGGGTGAAGAAGTACCTGGGACCATGCGTCTGCATCTTCCCCCAGTGATGGCAGCCAGAGCAGAAGCTAGCTGGTGAGCTGTCCTGATCTCCCTAGGAGCCAGCGCGAAGCAGGGAGCAGGCTCTTGAAATAATCCAGAAAGCTGTTCCCCAGACTTCAGTCGGGCCTGCAGAGATTTGTCAACATCAGCCCCTGCCTATGTCAGGACTGCAGCCAGCCCTACCTTTGGCACCTGAAACCCCTTGCGTTTTAGAGCAAGACACAACGTGGACTGGTTCCAGCTGCTCTCACCACCTAAGTGCAAAAGTGACGTGAGGTTGAAAAAAGTAAGCAGCGTGGGCGCTGTGCAGATAATCACCACTTCTTTCTTTTTAGCAGCCTACTCTTCCCTAAATTTCAAAGTTGGAACTCCAAAGAAAGTAAGACTGAGAATGCCTTTTCCCCACCACAAATGCATCAACTCAAGGCTTGAGTCTCCGTTATAACTTGTTTTGTAACTCCACATTGTCTTGCTTAGTAACGACTACTGGCTCCCAAAGTGCACAGCTGCTGCTCACTTACAGGGCAAGTAGTGATGCTGTCCCCCACTGAGCCACGGCTCAAAGAAGTACTCTACCCTGAATGACACCCCTTGCTCTTCCTCCATGGGAAGTGAAGGAAGTGTATTCCCCCAGGCTCAGGCCTCAGGCTAAGCGGCTGAGATAAATCTTCTGCCCCTCTTGTTCACTTAACAATTCTAAAACAATCTGCTCAGATCACCCTTCACCGTCATGCTTAGCTTTATTTTCTAGAAGAGAGAACCAGAAAGGAATACACTGACTTGTCCCATAGGCCTTAAGAGTTGTTGGTGACTTGAAATTTGGAATGGCCTTTTTTTTTTTTTTTTGTCCCTATGGCAGAAAATGTCCTGCAAAAGAAATTTGGGAACAGCATGCTGAATCACAAGAGACACACTCCAAAAAACTTTTTAAAAAGGGGTTTTCTTAGCTCCAGGATGAGCACTATTCTGGAGAGCACATCCTACACGACTGTCTGGATTGCTTCTCATGTAGTTCTACTTGGAGGGATGGTGCATGGAGAACAATCCACATTCTACTCCTTAAATCATGGGAGAAAGAGCTCTAACCATAGAAGATTCAGGCTGAACAATCAGTTCTGCTACATATAGCCCAACTCCTGATTTGACATAGGCCTTGACCTGGGCCTTAGATTTCTCTTTTGTAAAGTTAAAATAGTTTTAGCTCCTTGAACTACCTTACAGGCTGCTGTCAAAGGATTTTTTAAATAGTTAGATGGTGTGTGGGGCATGTTTTCTAGGTTGTGAAATGCCATGTACATGTAAACTGGAATTGCATTTGGGCTCAGAGGTTCTAGAGTCATTCTGGCTGGGTTCTAATCTTAGCTTCTGTGTCTGTCCCCTGTGTGGCCCGGTTTCCTCCTCTATAATATAGGAGTAATAATAACACCTACTCCGTGGTGTTGGTAAGAGGTCAAATGAGATAATCCATGTTGGAGCAGTGAGCACTGTGCCTGGTGTGTAATAAATTCTCAGTGTGATGGTGCCGAATACTGACAGGTTCTCATCAGTCCTTCCCTGGGCCCAGGAGCCATTCCATACAGGCTGCCCTGAACGTCTGAGTGAGGTTCACATCTTCAATAATGTCAGAATTAGCAATGATGCAAGTTTATGCAATATCATTGGAAGGTTAAATTGTTTAAACATCGTTTGTACTTCTTCAATTTTGTACATTTTAAAAAATAAATTTTAAATTTTTGTTTTGGTTCTGATAGAGGAAGCTCTGCTCTCTAGATTTTCACAAAATGAATGGTTTTGATCAAATGCAATCAAAGCCAATATCCAGCACTGCAGATAAATGCTGCTAATTTCCCTCCTGTGAGTCTGGGTCAAAGGGCTCCTCACTTCGGCCCTGGCTGAGGATTTGAGGTTTCACCTGTGAGCACAAGGAGGCAGGTATGAAAAGCAGCTGGCCTAGACCTCTGGCTTGTAAAGGTGAAAGGTTGAGATTACCCAGAGGAGAAATTCAAAACCAATGGCAATTCTTAAACCAACCAAACCCTCCACTACATATGAATGTATAGGTTAATTATGACCATTTAAGTATTGGCCTGATCTTTGATTTAATCTACGAGCAGGTCCAATTACAGAAGCACTGGAGTTATCCTCTAATTAGTCTTAAAGGTTCAATTATTTGATGCCTACACTTCTGGTGAATCTTCACTTCCCAAGGGAATCAGACTTGAAAGGCTCTTTCAATGTGGTTTAACCTTTGGTGACTCTGAGCAGCATTTGAGAAGTCAGACAAGAGAGAAAAGCACAGCTCTCAAGAAGGCTTCTTAATCATCACCTCCAAGGTCAAGGCTAATGAAAATTAGTTTAACATGTTACTCTTCCAAAACTTTCTTTTTTAAAAGGAAAAAAAAAAAACCGCTATGAGAAAGAGCCACTAAATGTCTTTATCAGACCCTAGTGTACAAGGCTTCCTGTCTTGGGGTCATAATTTGTAAGATAACAAGGGATGAAGTCTTTAGCCCCATTTGCACAGTCAGACATTGGCTCTCAGGACAATCTGATGACAGTAACTTAGTAAACTACCAACACTTTTGGCCAGTGGTGTGTTATGAAATATCTAACAACTGGATCTGTGATGAGAAAACCAAAGAAACTGAAGCTCCGCTCTGTCCAGTTTCCATGGTGTAAACACTCCCTGTTTGGCCAACTTCAAACTACCAACATGAGGTCACTCAACCCGGCGCTGGAAATGCAATAGACACATCACACAGTATCTCCACCAGAGAGGTAGAACACACAAACGTCACTCAAGGGCCTAGATGATAGGAAGATGTAGTGAAATGACTTGAAAGTGAATACTTACGACCTTTGTTTTTGACGCAATTTGCTTCACTGTAAGTTTTTAAAGTTTCATCTTTCATAATGGTTGTATCTAACCATCTTGTGAAATTCCTGAACACCACTAACTCATAGCCTCATGGAGGTTGGGTTAACTAAGTGCAGAAAGGAGGTGAAGCTGTTACAAATCACTCAGTCCGCTGAGCCTGCAGACCGTGTGGAGATGGCGTGGGGGGTGACAGGCGAGGAAGAGAGTTGAGTCCAGGGTGGGGCAGGCAATCCTCTGAGTTCACGCTGTCTGTGTATTGCCTCCCGGTAGTTGCCCCTCCAGAGGACTTGCGAGTGGCTGGTATCAGCGACAGGTCCATTGAGCTGGAATGGGACGGGCCGATGGCAGTGACGGAATATGTGATCTCTTACCAGCCGACGGCCCGGGGGGGCCTCCAGCTCCAGCAGCGGGTGCCTGGAGATTGGAGTGGTGTCACCATCACGGAGCTGGAGCCAGGTCTCACCTACAACATCAGCGTCTACGCTGTCATTAGCAACATCCCCAGCCTTCCCATCACTGCCAAGGTGGCCACCCGTACGTACCATTCCCCCCCTCCTGCTTCATTTTTCTTTTCTCCCACATGAGATCATGGGCATTCATGGTAGTGGTGTCTTTTCTGAATTCTCCAGGGACCCTGCAATCATCTTGAGGGGAAGGGCTTCAGACATGACCCACTTAGAAAAGGGTGTATCTTTAAACAGACACTTCCTATTAAGAGAATGTCCAAATTCAGGCAGCTTCCATAGATTATAAAAACAAAAGAACAAAAAGTACTTAATTATTGAGTACTGACTTGTTAGAAGCTAGACTCAACTTGGAAGCCATGTACCCAATGAGACTTAGACAGACCTTGAATACAGTTAGGATCCAAAACCAGGAGATAGGAAATAGGAAGAACAATAAGCAAGTTGCCAATAGATGTTATGTTCCCGAGGGCAAGTGCATAGCAGAGTGAAAGAAAAACTCCTTGTTTAAAACCACAGCGACAACATCCACTTCTCATACAGAGGTGGCAGCATTTCTTTATGATGTTTAGCAGAACATCTTGGCGTGTGTGTGTTTGTGGTGCTGGGGATCAAACCCAGAGCCTCACACATGCTAGGCAAGCTCTACTACCCCTCAGCCACATCCCCAGCCCTTTTCATTTTTATTTTGAAAGTGGGTGTCTCTAAGCTGCCAAGCCTGGCCCAGGACTTTCAATCCTCCTGCCTCAGCATCCCAGGTCGCTGGGATGGCAAGCAGGCGCTACCATGTTGGATATAACACCGTATCTTAATGGCTCACTTTAGTTGTGAAAGTTAAGGCTCTAGGATGTGAAGTTCCAGAGGGGAAAAAAGGTCAAGGTATAAAGAGTTGGCCCTGAAGGCTTCACAGAAGCCTGAGGACGGGAGCAGAACTTAGAAAGAGGCAAGGACAGGGACTGGCAGCAGGGCAGGATTGCAGAAGTCGTCTTGCCCCCTTGCTTCTCAGGTGACCCAAGTCCTGGGATAATACTGGACTCTCACAAATGCTGACTCCGTTAATATGCCTATAATTATCTGTTTATATTTGACCTTTTTTCCCCCAATTCCTCTGGTGCCTGTGAACTAGTTTTAAATATCTGCAGTGATCCGTGGAGGCAGGTCACCATCTGCTGCTTTTCCCACCTTGCTCCAGGATGAGTCACCACCCCCAGTGCCTGGCCGGCTCCCAGGCGTCCCCACTCTGATCCACGTGTACAGGCACTGATGAGGTTTCCAGCCCCTGTGGTGGTGGTTGTGCCAATTCAGGGCATCCCTGCAGGCACGCTCCCAGGTGACAAGGACAAAATCATGTAAAGGCGCCTGACATGCCTTCAAGTGGGTTCAGAACCAGCCCCGCCTTTCAGCCAGGAAGCTTCCCAATGGGAGAGATGAGAATCTGTCGGTTTTCCAACGGGAATAGCCCAGGAGAGGTGAAGCTAAAATGGGAGCGGAGCCCTGGAGAATTGAGAGAAGTTGTGCTGTCATCCTCAGGGCTGGTAACTGGAACTCCATTAGGACGAGCATATTTCACCCCACTGAACCCGTGCATGTGTGTGTGTATGTGCGGTTGGGGGGAAAGGTTGGGGGGAGAAAGGGAGGAGATTTAGAGAGAGCCAAAAGTTAGACAAGTGAGGCCGAAGGGAGTGAGGGAGAGGAGAATAACGAAGGAGCAGCCGGAGGAAATTTGGAGAAAGTGAAATAAGAGCAAAGCTGGTGTACGCCTTGTTCTGCTTGTGTACACAAAATGAAAATTCAGACTGCCCTAAATTTAGGGATTTGTGCTCCCTAAAATACTTTGAGTGCACATCAGATGGTCAGGAGAAGAACCCCGGTCTTCCTTCTGAAGCTGGCTTGCTCCACATCTTTAACCAAACCTTCTCTTGCCTCCTTTCCCTGTGAACGAGATGGCAACACTGGGCTTAGCACAATACTGCCTCCCAGGAATCCTGTACAGCTTCCAAAGATAGTGTTCGAGTTCTCTGAAAAAGGCTTTTTATTCCATTCCAAGATTTATCACATTAGTAAGGAAAGGAAAACATGACTTTTATATTTAACATCAACAGTTTCTATTATGTAATAGAAAGCACAAAAAAAAGTTTTGCATTCGTTAAGTGTGTTCCTGTGTTGCACCAACACAGAGCCCCAGAGCCCCAGGGCAGAGCGCCCATCTGCACCAGGACACACTGTGTCTGCCGTAGGATGGGGCGGTCCTGCCACAGGCCACCACACCCATAGCATAGAGGGCATTCACAAGACAAGAGCCAGGCACTGCTCTCTGTCCCTGCCAGGGACAGCCGTGACATTGTCACCCACATTGCTGTGTTCCAGATCTCTCCACTCCTCAAGGGCTGCAATTCAAGACAATTACGGAGACGACCGTGGAGGTGCAGTGGGAGCCCTTCTCGTTCTCCTTCGATGGGTGGGAGATCAGCTTCATCCCAAAGGTAACACCCGCTGCCAGGATGCCTCCCTCTGCTCGTGCCTCACCTGGGGAGCAGGGCAGCAGGGCAGCACTGCCCAGGGTCTCGCTCCAGGCCAGTAGAGACATGAAAGGGCATTAAGTGAGTGCCTGGGCTGCAGAAGGCTCCTTTCACCAAGGGCTGAGGACCACGAGCAGAGCCCCTGGTCTGCACAGGGGGGACCTGGAAAGCAGCTCCAGCGGCAGCTCTTGCTGAGACAGTTTCAGGGTTTGGAGAGTCCCTTGTTAGCGGTTAGGAAACTGGGCCATCAAAAAGTGGGGGCCAAGTGGAACCAGCTTTGGGTTCCACGGATTATTTCTGTACAAACAGATGGACTAACTGTCAGCTCGTGTGGGTTGCGACCCCAGAGGTTAGAGGCATCGCAGAAATGCCCTGGTTCTCCCAGTTACTCAGAGTGAAGTTATGACCTATTAATTAGGCAACCTTTTCTTTAAGCAAATTGCATGCTTAGTCTGTGAGTTTAAAAGTACCCTAGGATTCCTCTCTACTAGGTAAAGCAGCTTACTTATTTCTTTTATTAATCCTAAAACTGTTTCCGACTTGCCAGTGACGCCTGCCTAGCTGTCCCTGACCACCACACCTGAGGGGGCAAAGTTCAGCCATATCCCTCCCTTTGTCCCTGTCCTTCTACAGGAAAGAGCACCTTTCAGACTTCTTCAGATTTAATGGCCAATGACACATTTGGGGAGAACTAGACTATAATCTTGCCTTTCTTTTACCACCACATTCTTGACATCGTGGACTGTTGGAGCTACAGAGGATCTTCAAGTTCACAGAGTTAAGACCCCACATTTCACATTTAGTTTAATTTAGTTTAGTGTGTAGAGACGAAGACTCAGAGAACTTAGATGACATAAGATCCCTAATTAGTGCCGGGCTTAAGTCAAAAACCTTAGTCTCAGCTTCCTGCTCCAGGGCTCTGCCCACAAACGCAGATGCCCCCCCATCTTCTGGAGATACAGTCCTATCATGACAAGCCAAATGCTCCTAACAGACATTCTATGCAAATCTATTATTATATAAATGATCTGAGTTAAAATGGCCAATAATCAATGGAAGGCAACTGAGTTTAAAAGAAAGCTGAAAGAATCATGTTACTCTGCTGCCCAAGCAAGAAAAGAAAATCGTGCCAGATTCTCCTGTTTTACGTACAATATGTGAAACTCTAAATAAAAGAGGGGCTGACCAGGGCATACCAAGATCCAATGCATGGCAGCAGAGAATAACCTCTTGAGGCTCTGTAGGCAGAAGTCACAGGCTGTGGGAAGGTTATCACGTTGATTTACAAAAGTATGGCTGTAAGTGACGTACAGGGAACTCGAGATGACATAAACTGAGATGAAAGAATAAGGTAGAAGAGGAGTGTTTGAAAGGGGGCCCTCTTGTCCCCTCTGTTTCCAAGGTCACACACATGGAAAACCTAATTAATAGTAGGTAGATGATAGATAGATAGATGATAGATGATTGATTGATAGATAGATGATAGATAGATAATAGGTAGATAGATGATAGGTAGATGGTAGATAGATATTAGATTCTGGACCCAACATCATCTAGTTGCTTTCTCATTTCCTTTCCACCTATTTGTCTTCTACCACTCTCCTTTGTATTTTTTTTGGTTTGTTTCGTGTTTCTTTTTTCTTTCTTTCTTTTTTTTTTTTTTTTGTACTTCATGATTATGTCTCTGAGTCTTAACTCATCTGGGTGAGGTGGAAACATGACATTGATAGATTTTCACCCTTTGTAGCACCATGAGAAATTCCAGATATAGCCAAATAATAGCCCCAGCTCATTAAAAAATCTGGGAATATCTTAGTTTGAAATATGTTGTGGATATTATAAAAATGTTTACACACAACTGTACTCTTGTAAACAGCCAAAGGCAGGCTCGTAACACTAAATGACAAAAAAAAAAAAAAAATGATGGATGTTACCTGTAACCATTGAACATTTAGTCTTTGGCAAGAGCCAATCTGCATCACCTCATGACTAATTTTAATTGGCAAACTTAAAAAACTCAGGAGAGGCCAAAGAAATGTTCTTGAAGTCGGTTCTCACCGAGCCTGCTGGGAGTTGTTCCTAGCCCCAGACACTCCTCTGTCAGCCTGGAGGGAGTAGAAGTAGCCCCCATTTTTACTTCCCAGTTAGTTCCCAAGTCAGTGGTCCATGTCCTTCGCTGGTTGATTTCACTCCTGGTGACTCTCTCTTTTCCTTTCTTTGCTCCTTCCCGCTCTCCAGAACAATGAAGGAGGAGTGATTGCTCAGCTCCCAAGTGACGTCACCTCCTTTAACCAGACTGGGCTAAAGCCTGGGGAGGAATACATTGTCAATGTGGTGGCCCTGAAGGAACAAGCCCGGAGCCCCCCGACCTCGGCCAGCGTCTCCACTGGTGAGTGCTCCAGCTGTAGGTCACCCAGGAACAAGAACTGCAGAATTACCCGAGATGTGGGGAGGCAAAGAGCCGCTGGGTTCCTGCCAGAGCTGAGCGATTGGAGGGCCTGGAGATGGGTCTACTCTGCCAGATACTTAGCTGACAATACTCCTTTTGCTCTTCTTTGCAAGCATAGAAATCCATGTTCCATTAAGGAACTCTCTGTCAAGATTCTCCAGGCAATTTTTCTGATCCTCATTACTCACTAAGAGACCTCATATGTTAACCCCTTAGTGTCATGAGCTTTGGAACCAAAATCTCATGACAAAGCCTCATCTCACCTAGTGTAAGATTTGGAGAAAGTCAGCCAAACCTTCTCAGACGTCAACCTGCTTTACACTGAGGAGCAATAGTATGTCCATGAGTCAGTGTGAGGATTAAATTAGATAAAGTATAAAAAGTGATTATACTATGCCGCTAATGTTACTAGAGTCCTAATCCAGACACCTAACTCTGGGGAATCCCAACAAATCAGATCTGGCCATCCACCCAAAAACCAATCCAAAAAAGTAATGGTGAGAAGCAGGAAAGGAACGTTAATTAGGATAGCCACCCTGGGAAGACGAGGAAGACTCATATTTTCAGCAGTTACTGACATGAACTGCCAAGCTATATAGACAAAGGGGACCAGAAATGTGCGTACTCAAGCAGTCTTGGCGGGACTGTGATCTGGTTGATCCTTATCTGAGGATTGGCCAAAGACTCATTGATGACCATGGAGCTGCTGTGGCCCGTGGGGTGGTTTCAGTTCATCAGAGGTATTCACTGAGGTATTTGCTCTGCAGAATCAGAGCAAAGGGGACACATGCAAAATGGTGAAAGAGTTGCCAGGATTTTTACATCTGTAGGTCCAAACGAAGACTCAATGTTTTTAATAAAAGTGAGTATTTAACACTTAGTATATAAATATATACCCAGAAACCGTGCTTGGAAGTAAAAGTAGTCAGAGACAAACCATGTAAAAACAGTACGTAGAGCTGGGTCACTTTTCAGTGTGACAACATAAGTTGCTTATTAGTTCATCCCCACAGTTCATCTCCTTCAAGGTTATTATATTTTCAGGATTGATTGGTTAACTCTATTCTATTTGCCTTATTGTTTCCTGAACTAACAAAGGGTGTTCAACTTCAAGGCCCAAAATGAGCAATTGTGATGCATATATAAGTGCCTTCACACAATATCTTTTTTTTCCTCAAAAGTTCAATGTAGTCTGTGGGATCATTTTCTTGTTCTCGTTTTGTTGCTGGGAGAGCTGTGGCCCGGGCTAGGCAGTTTTCCTTGTCAGTAACAAACTCCGGGATAGGTGAACGTTGATACAGTTTTATTTTTCATAAACAGAAAGTGTCACCCTTGCAAGACAATATTAGGTCCAGAACAAAATATTGAATTGACCAGGAAAGGGAACCACAGCACTGGGTAATGAGACCATGTAGATTAGTGATTCATCCTCTGCTTCTTGGAACCATGGAACCTCAGGTGCTGAGGCCTGTACTCTGTCTGAGAAGCACTGATCAAAACTCTGATGGCATTAGCTTGTGTTCCATTGGTGCCCTAGGGTTCCACACCTGTGCCTTGAGGCCAGGATCAGGTGGAGATCCACACCTCTAATTACTTCCTCTGAGATGCCTCCAACCAGGGCAGCTCCACTTTGATCTGTTTTATATTTTGAACAGCCATTTAAAATGTTCTGTTTAAAAAAAAAAAAAAGTTTCACTCAAAAAAAAAAAAAGGCTTTCAAACTACTGTTTTAGTCCAAATATGAAACCCCATAGCCTAAAATCCAAAAGTGCTCTGCAGAAATATCCGGAAGGCTAAGGGCACCGCTCAGTTCCCCAGGGTTAATGCTGCAACCTGAAGCCTTGACATTAGATGACAAGTGCAGATTCTTCACTTCTGATAAGGATTGTTTCTTGGTCCCCAAGCCATTCTTGTGATTTCATGTTTTTTTTTTTAAAAAAAAAGCATTTGTAGAAGACAAAAGATGGTTCACAGAGGAGAGAGAACATTACAATTGAATATTAGTCTTCTAAAGCATTGAAAGTACTTAAAGAAGGGAATCCAATCCTGCCTTAGTCGTATATTCAAACCACATTTTTGCAGTATTTCTTGGTCTGGAAGTCCCTTAAGATTAAACTTAAAATGTGGATCTAGAACTCCATAGTAAATCCAGGCAGATCTTTTTCAATCAAGAAGAAAAGTCCTAGTGTTAATATGTTGACATCATGTACAGAGCCATGGGGGGGGAAAAATGAAAAATGAGAAACATGTATTCCAGTTCACGTTTTGAGTAGAACTTGTGTTTGTTTAGAAATTGGGACTAAATTGAAAGCAAGATGATCCTTCCTTGATTGGAATGCGACATTACTACCAAGTGACCAACCAAAGGGCAGAATCCAAGAGTGACAACAGAAAAGATGGCCAGCTCGCAATCCCGTCTGCTGTTTTTAGGAAGCGATTGTTTAATTATTTCCTTCTGTTAAGGTCTGACCTACACCAGCCCCTTCCTGTGGAGCTCTGAGTCCTCGTCTGCACTCAGCCTGGCTTCTTCAGGACAGGCCATTTAGTGCATGCAAATATGAGACCTCCTGCAGCTAGAGCCCTCTGTGCTACATAATCACGGTCTAATATGGTCACTCCATTATGGTCAGGGATTTTTTTTGTATCCAAGAGTTGAAGGACAAAAGCCTTATGTGGTCATTTGAGTTTCCCTGATACCTTTTATTTTCTTCTAGAAGCTCCAGCTCCCTGAAATGTTTCCCCCTTTCTCATGGTGAAGAGGCTCACCCATTCATTTCATCTACTCAAAACTCGTTGACTAAGCGTCTCTTTCCATTATGCTTATACCACAGTAAGGAGGCCATTCCTCCATCTTTTAATTAAATTAAATGAAGTTAAAAAGGCCCAGGTTACTTAAAACCACCAAGTGCAGCATGCTGAAAAGAAGCAGTCTGGATATTTTCTGTTCAGTCATGTGACTACCTTAAATATAAAAGACAGGACTTCATTTGATCTCCCAAACAGTTGGCACCAAAGTGGTCTGGTGATTTTCATTTTGGCTGGTGCTAGATGCTAGACCCAAAATCTTAAAGTTGCTTAATAAAAAACAGCAATGGGCTAGATCCAGAAAGAGGGCGTGGTGCCTATGGGACAGCCCAACTTTGAAAAGTCAAGGGACTCAGTGACAGCTGAGAGAGAGACCTCATATCTGGAGTCAGAGCAGAAGGTGGACCAGTGTGGGCTGATTAAAAAACAAGGCTCAGTCAAGACACTCAGCTAACCAGCAAGGAGAATGTACCTGAATTACCTGAAGCTAAAGAGAAGTTTCTGGAAGGACATAGAGTGTTTCATAGAAACCCAGGGTCAAAAGCATATCAGGGTCTAATGAAAGACTCAAATGACAAAATGGAATGGCAGGAAGTTACTCTAGGGCTTTCTAGAAGTTCCTCATGGTCCCTCATCCCCCCTCCCCTGTTGTCCCCTCTTCAGTCTTCTCCTCTCCTCCTCCCTGCCCCATGCCATCAGATGTTTCTATTTCTGTATGAATACGATAGACAATGGCCACACCAGCTCAGGGTCCAACACAGGCTGCTTGGAGAACCAGAGTCAATTTGGTGCCAATTCCAAATCCTTGGGGAATATCAACATGGATCAGATCAAACCAGAGCAATGAGGTCACACAGCAAATGCAAATCTCGAGTCTGGGCCTCCTCTTTTGCAGGTAGTGAGTAATGCTTAGGAAAGAGCTGTTAGCAGACATCCCACGAGGAGTTGAGAAGTAATCTTCTATTCTCCCAGGTTCTCCCTCTTCCTATTGCCCTTCTACATTCCCCGGCCCTCTCCCAGCACAATTCAATATGAACAGCACCCAGCGGGTGCTAGAGCTGTAGATGCTGCGCCCTGTAGGAGACCAGCCAGTTTTCCCAGCCTTCCCCTCAGCTACATGGTGCCAGAGGCCAGGGCTCCTGAGGGACATTCGCTGGAAACCTTGAGGACCTAGGTGTAACTGCAGTGTCCTTCCTTCTCAGAAATATCCAAGCCCTGGAGGAGAAAACAAAAATGGCCCAGAGTACTGTGTCTTCCCAGACGGCATGTTTCCTGGGCACAAAGGCACACATCTGCTGGGTTGGGTACGGTCTCAGCCACTGGGTTGTCTGGGTATGAGTACAGCTGGGCAGGGACAGCTTTGGAACACTCACAGTGACCTCTGAGGTCTAAGTCTCGGATGTTTAGACAGGGTGGTCACTTCATAGACCTTTCCTGGGGGCTCCCTGAAGGTGGGAGCTGGGCACCGGAAGCTTGGTCCTCAAGTCCTGGTCCCATTTCCTGCAGAAAGAAATTGTTCTGAGTCTCTCAGACCAGGAAGTGCCCTCCCATTCCCAGACTAGGACATGCCAGCCCCAGAAGCTGCAGCATGGTAAAGGGAGAACGGGACCCAGCATCAGGAGAACTGAGTCCTACTGCCAAAGTGTGTTCCTCACTTTCCCTGTCTGTAAAATGGGATGCTCACACCATGCCCTCTTTGAGCAAGCTCACACCAGAAGGAGGGGGCAGATGCCAAAGGCTTATACCCGACTGGTGACGTTTTGTTCTGTTTGATCCTTCTCATTCAGTCATTGATGGGCCCACGCAGATCCTGGTTCGAGATGTCTCTGACACTGTGGCCTTTGTGGAGTGGACCCCACCTCGAGCTAAAGTTGATTTCATTCTCTTGAAATATGGCTTGGTGGGCGGGGAAGGCGGGAAGACCACCTTCCGGCTGCAGCCTCCCCTCAGCCAGTATTCGGTGCAAGCGCTGCGGCCTGGCGCCCGCTACACGGTGTCGGTCAGTGCAGTCCGAGGGGCCAATGAGAGCGCGTCCACCACCACCGAATTCACAACAGGTAAGGCTGCCGTGGGAAGAGGAGCACAGGGGGAGGGGGGAGCCAGCTGGTGGAGTCCTCACAAGAGGAGCAGGAAAGGAGTGGTCACTGCCAGAAGGAGGGGAGTGGTCTGGGGCATCGCAGCACAAAGGAAAAGCAGGCACCAGAGTAGCAGAACAGGTTCTGATCCTCGTTCTGCCAGCCAGACCAGCGACTGAGTCCTGTCCTCCGATGAGTCCCTGAGGTTGGCAAAATGACATTTGTAAAATGACACATTTATCTTGAAGACATTGGGGCATCCATAGTGCTAGCCCAAATGACAGCTTGGGGACTGTTCGGGAAAGGTGCGTCTTGCTCGGGACGCTTCATGGCCATTTGTGGATATTGTTGCAGTCATTCTCTAAATCTGTAATGGCCGCATGGCCACGGTGGAGCACCTTGGCGTTGTTCAAACCCAACCCGACCCACCACAGGCCGAATGCAGGGCTGTGACTCGTCCTGTGTAAGCACCAGCATGGGCCACCCAAGCCCTGATTCCAGGGACAGGAAGTTGGAAGCCCACATGGTGCCTCCCAACCGCCATGGTGACCTCGGCCCCCTTCCCAAGGCTATTAGCGTCAGAGAGCTTCACCAGCACTCGGGAAGGGCCAGAGCTCAGGTGACTTGCTCCGACTCTCAGTGCCCATTAGTCTGGCCAACTGTGGGCAAGAAAGATAGGCACCACCCAAGGGACCAGCTTCCTGGCACCCTGGCTCGGTCAGCAAGGCTCTGTGATCAGCTTAGTCACTGAGCCTAGTTAATCAGGATGGACATTGGCCTCTCTGCCTTGGGGAACATGTCAAGGTTCTCTGCTAACTCTAAGGGGTCCCAGGGATTCAAGGAAACTGATATCATCTGTAGGATCCAAGAACCAGCATCATCTGACAGTAGAAGAATCACTATTTCAAGCATCTTGCCTTGGGTTGTGGCCTGAGATCCTGTGCCAGGGTGGAGCAAGCCCAGGGGCTTCAAGGAGGCTCAATAGCTAGCACTTTCTGCTCCACCTGGGTTTAAGCCATTGATAAATGAGGTAAAGAATAAGAGAGATAGACACAAAACGTTCCCTAGGTTGGAGCGTGCAGCCAAGTATGACTGCCAGCTAGATTTGCAAGCTGACCAGCACTGTAGACCTGGGCTAGTCTGTCCTTGTGGCAGACCTGGGGGCTACTTGGGTTAGGACTTAGAGCAAGGAGGAATGGGAAGAGACCTGGCCCATGGGGCAGCCCATCCCACAAGAGAGGGAAGCGCTGGACAGTCCAGGCTCTGCTGCAGAGCTGGCCATTAAGGCCACCCTCCCCAGTGACAGAGAAGCAGGAGTCTTTCAATGGGGCTCTTTGCACGCAGAAGAGTTTGCTTCTTAAAAAGAATCAAACGTAGACACTGGTGAGCTGCAGAAGGCAGGATTTTATTCTGCCAGAGAACTTCCAGGATGTCTGTCTATCCTTTACCCAGACTCCACTCCCTCACCCAGGGGGTGGCCAGTGGTAATTTTTTCTGAACACATCCCCAGAGACTGAGTATTCTCCCTGGAAAAGAGGAGCCGAATTCTGCCCATTTCTCTTCCCCTTCTTCTCCCTCATTTAACTAAAATATTCCTGGCAGAGTGTGAAGAAAGATGACCTGTGATATCCCCTCTCAGTCTGAGAATTCAAGGTCAACCCCCACCACCCACACACCACAGCACCTGCTCAGGATGGTGGTGTCTGCCCTGGGCAGTGCTGCATTCTTTTGTTAATTTCAGGAGAGTTTGTGTTTGGAAAGTGGTTTCTTTGTGCTCTGCTCTGATAAGGAGGTTGCAGAGGCAAAACAGGAGAAGAGGGCTGTCAAGCAGCCTGGTGAAAAGCAAATTCTTGATGTTCAGGTCAACAAGATGGAAGCAGGATTGGCGGGTGGCCCAGGAAAATTCCAATCAAGACAATTACATCCCGCCTCCACGGGCCCCCCAGGGTTCAGCTCCCTGCTGCCCGCCTCTGCTCCATTCTCCCATTTCCGGTGCCTGGTGACTGGCAGCCCTGAGGTGGCTGCCTTCTCTGTGCAGCCTGGGCCTGTCCATCCAACCCACTCCCCTCTGCTTTAGGAGCGGGGGAGGGGAGAAGAGGCCAGAAGCCACAAATAGCTTCGCAGACAGACTCTCAAATTCGGGGTTGGCATGTGCCAGCTGAATGATAGGAGGGTACCCGGGCCCTCGCAGCAGGGCCCTTAGTCATTCCAGAACTCCGCTTAAATTCAAATTAACCAAAGTGCTTTTCCAGGTGATGGCTTCGACACTAGGAGCGCACTAATTGCACAGGCAATTAAAACAGAGATTTGCTTCCTGCCTGGTGAGTGGGATATTTGCCTGGGTCTTAGCGCTGCTCTGAAAAATGAAAAGGCTCTGGATGGCCGCATCCCAAGCCAGTGGCAAGGGAGAAGCCAGCCCCATCCCAGGAAATCTGGAGCCCAGTCTCTTGAATCCCCACCCTCAGCAGCCTGGCCTTCCACTGCCCTCAAGGGGGCGCCACCATCCCTGGACTGTTGCTGTAGGGGGCATCTTTGAGCATAAGCCTGAAGCCACAGAGTTCAGCCACCAGTGCACGTGACCTAAATGCTTCTGGAATTCTCTTTAATGCTGATATGGGTTCAACTAGGTCTCCTGAAAAGGTGTCGAAGCCCTAGTACATATGAATGTGACCTTATTTGGAAATAGGTTCTAGGCAAATTAAGATAAGGTCATTAAGGTGGCCTTAACCCGATACGACAATGTTCTTATGGAAAGAGGAACTTCTGCAGACACAGACTTGCCCACAAAGAAAATGCCACCTGAAGATGGGAGCAGAGACAGAAGCACCAAAAGATGGCGGCCACTCATCAGAAGCCAAGAGAGGCCGCCACGCTCTCCCACGGCCCTCCGAAGGAAGCGACTCTGCCAACACCTGGATTCTAGACTTTTAGACAATAATTTTCTATTAAAATACCCAACTTGGGGTACCATGTCTGGGAAACTAATGGGAACACCAGGAAGGTTCAAGCCCCACCTGCTTTTCAGTGATTCCACTCTGGGATTCTCATAGAAATTCTTTCCCAAGTTCAACCAGGACAGTACTTACCTTCCCAGCCAAGATTCTGGCTGTGCATGGCAGAGGACATGGGGGCTTCCTGCCCCTGCAACACCAGCTGTCCTCAGCCAAAGCTGCTCTTCTCCCTGCACCACCTCACCCCAAGCATCCCAAGCCCCACGGCTGAACAGCTGACAAGACTTTTGCAGAGGCTTTGAGTTAGCAAAAAAAAAAACAGAGCTGATGGTGTTCATTCAGTGGCTTGGTGTGTATTTATTGAGCATCTGCTGGACCTAAGGGTGTAGAACAAACAAGACAAGACCTGGACCACATGCATGGCATTCTCCTGGGGGAAACTTGCCAGTGAAAAGGGAAGAAATGTACAAGATCGTTGTGATGGTGAGCTCTGTGATGAGAAGTGAAATGGATGATGTGGAGGGGATCCGCTGGATCCAGCAGTTTGGAAAGGCTTTCTGAGAACGTGGCATTGTAACTAAGATCTCAACGACTAAGTCATTCAGGGATCTGGAGCTCATTCCAGGCAGATGCAGCAGCCAGTGCACAGGCCCGAGGTAGGAATTAGCTTGATGTGTTTCAACAGTAGAAAGAAGGCAGACAGCCGGAGCCCCAGGGGTAGGGTAGAAGCAGGACAGGGTGATGCATGAGAGCAGGCAGGCCAGGCCAGCGGGCCTGCAGGGAGGTTCGGGAGCTCATGATTGGAGCAACAGGGAAGGCTTCAGAACAGAATCATGGGATCTAGCCTGTGCTTTAGAGTTCACAGCCACAAGTCCCTCCACGGCCCCCATTAGCCATCTACCTCTGCCTCTCACCCCAGGCCTGCTGATGCAGTAGAGACCAGCTCTGTTCCCAAATAGAGGGATGCCTCTCAGCCGCCCCTCCTAGCCAGGCCTCCAGACCCTGAGACTGCAAGTAAGTTCCCCTCTGACCAAGCTCTTGTTCCAGGAATGACCTCTTTCAGGGTTATTGGCACTGGAAGTACCTGCTGCCTTCAAAGAAAACTCTTCCCCCATCCACAGCGCAAAGGCCCTAAGAAGAAACCTCCCAGAACCCTTGGCAGTGAGTCCTCTCTGTGTCCTTATAAAAAGGGGATGTTTCCAAGGTAAGAGGTGTCCACTAGGTGCAGGTGTCCACCTTTACCCTAACCCAGCTGTTCTTGCCCCAGTCCAGGTCAGGTGCCACACCCCGCCCATGACACTCAGGGCCATGATGTCAGGCACATCCCCCCACGGGCTCCTCCACCCAACTGTTAGAGAAATAGCACACACAACACATCAGGGATGCACAGCTCCCCTTGCTAAAGTACTTTGAGTGAAAAAACAGTTCTCAGTAAACAAGCTGCAGAGACATAAATCTGCTAAAAGATTCGCCCAATTTACATCACTAAACAGAATACTTCTCACTCCCAAGCCTCTGCTTTTGGGTGGATTCGCAGCATTCTCGTCATTGCAAGAAGGATCCAGGATACTTGCCTTGCTTTTGCAGACTACAGCAGCCCAGGGGAGGTTTGCTTGGAACAAAGGACTGGTCTGCTCCAAGTTAAATTTGAGTCTCAGTTTTTCAGAGTCACACCTAGAGGTTTATGTTGTTCCTTCCCAAATGAGTCTGACGAGGCCGTCGGTTCTCAGGGAGAGAAGCAGCTCCTTGGGGTTGTGGGAGAGATTCCGAAGCTGATAGTCCCTTCATTGCACTGGAATTTGTGGAACCCCAAGAGCGAGCATTGGGGTGCAATACTGTTGGAACTCAGGAAGCATTTCGGAGGCAACAGGAAGCCAGCCCAGGGTCTGGACACCTATTTTCACACCAGAGGCCAGACAACCAACTTGACATGTATTGTCTAACCATATGGCAACTGGAATATGGCATCATTTGCTCCTTTTACAGAAGTGGCCATCAAGTCCCAGTGAGACTGGAAGACTTGTCCACGACCCATTCCTGCAGGTGTCAGAGCTGGAAATCAAACTGAAGCTTGACCCCAAAGCCCACATTCTTTCTAGTACCTCACTTCCCCTGTCTGTGTTTTAATTTTCCAATCTGTAAACCTTTCAGCTATTTCTATACTAGTAAACTCCAGAAGGGCAGCTTGAAATCAACCCTCCTCTCTTTGCTTGATGTTCAAACCTGATTTTGTTCTCTTCCATTTTAATCACTTGAGGATTATCCCGGATTTCTCCTACTTGGGTTCCCTTTGCTTTGTTTTGGAGCCTGTGATATTAGTTGGCTCATTTCCAAGTTTCTGGAACCCTTGGATGGTCATGGGGTATCACAAAGTGTATCGATGTCTAATTTCCAAGTAAAACCCTCCAACCAGACCAAGGAATTTGCTGGGACAGACCAAAAAGCCAGGGGCAGAAACAGAGCTCACTCAAATGTAAGGAAGAGGGTCAGGAAGTGTGGGGTCTCGCCACAAAGATTTTTAAAATTCAAGATGCACCACAAATGCACATTATCTGGTGTGATGTTGGTGATGTCTGTCTGTTTGTAGAGATTGATGCCCCCAAGAATTTACGAGTCGGCTCCCGCACAGCAACCAGCCTTGACCTTGAGTGGGATAACAGCGAGGCAGAAGTTCAGGAATACAAGGTTGTGTACAGCACCTTGGCCGGGGAGCAATACCATGAGGTGCTGGTCCCCAAAGGCATTGGTCCAACCACCAGAGCCACCCTCACAGGTAAGTGCTGTCTCTTGGGAGCACAATGGTTGCTCAGTCTACATCTTCACAGCTCTCTCTCAGGCCACTGTCCCCGAAGCCAACCCATTGAGCTACTCTCATCCCTTTCCTGAACCTCAGCAGGGACCTCCTCTTCAGGCCCATCTGATCCATCAAAACAGGGGGATGTTTTCAAAATACTTTCTTGGTGATGCCACCTCATTGTGCATACATTCTAGGGGCTGCCCATTGTTCTCAGGGCAAACTAAAACCCTAAGCATGGCTGGCCTGCCCAGTCCCCTGCCTTCTCAAGTCCCACCCCTCCCCATCCCCTGGTGCCCTCTCTGCTCCTGGCCCATGGGTCTGGGAGTCCCTCAGACGTGCTGTCCTTCCTGCCGTGGTGCTCTGACCCCAGTTCACATGCCACTTTGCAAGAAGCCTGTGTAGTTCCCAAGGGAGGCCAGATCATGCTGTCCGCTCGCTCTCAGCACGGCTCAAGATGCCTCTGACCTGTGGGCATGACTCTTTGACAGTTGAGCTTCTCCCTAGACCTGGCGCTCTAGGGAAGCTGGACCATGTTTTTTTTTTTTTTTTTTTTTTCTCATCATTGAATCCCCAGGGTCCATTACGGTATCTAGAATATTCTAGGTCCTAGAGCAGTGTTTCTTGAAGGGATGAGTGAATGAAGATGCAAAAATTCACTCTGATTGGGACATAGAGTGTGAGAGGCCAGTGACAGGGTGAGAGCCTGGTCGTCCTTATATTCCCTGTAAAAACCTGGGGGTTTATTCTAGAGGGCAATGAGGAGCCACTGAGGGAGTTTTAAATAAGGTGGTGTAATTGCTGTGGTATGCAGAGAAGGTCAAGGGCAGAGGCTGGTCAGCAGGCCATTGCTGGGGTTAAACAAGAGAAGTGGTGGTGTGGACTAAGGCAGTGCCCACTGCCCACCACACCTGGCTGGAGAACAGTGCTGACTCCTGTGGGGCCCTTCAGCACACCCATCCAAGAGAGCCTGCTGCCAGACCTTGCCCAGGGAGGGCGACTGCAAACGCAGGGCCTGGGTCCTGATGAAGGCAATGCTGAGCGGTCCTGGCCCAGGCTGCCCGAGGGCTCCCAGACAGTCTGTTTGACTGGTCTTGGCTTCCTGCAGAAGTGTCTGCCATCTTCCTAGTCAAAAGTTACCCAGCAAAGAGTGGACCGCAAACCAGGGCGGCACAATCAAAGCTGTTTTCCTCCTGAGCTGAAATCCCAGACCCCCTTGCCACAGTTAGAGCTTCTTTTCATCTTCACAGAAACCTCATGAGATAGTCCTGTTAGCAACCCCACTTTATAGATGAGGAAACGGAGGCCCTGGAAATCTGGACACTTGCCAGGTTCACAGAGCTAGCAAGTCCGCAGCTGTGATCGGAGTGGTCTGTGAGTGGACTCGGTTCCTGAGTCCTGGTCCAAAGGTTCTCCTCCCACCGCTGCTGCTTCCCACAAATGAAGCCAAATGTAAGGGACAGTCCAGATTCAAATTCCACAGGCTACAAGGGATGGTGAAATTATTACTGAGTAGTGGGTTTAGATAGGTTAGTATGTTGTGCTACAGTAGGGCTGATGAAAAAATCACACACACACACACACACACACACACACAATGTCACACGATTATCTCAGGGAGCTCACAGCGAGGAGATTTATGAAGGCAAATGTTTTTATGTGATTTAAGGAAGGATTAGAGGTATGTAAGGAAACCAAGTCAAGGACATGCTACTGGTTGAGACTCCAGCTATGAAGATCACTTGCTCTCTTGCAGCAGTATCCGAAGGAAGGGCCCCGAGAAGAAAGAGGGGAGGGAACAGTGTGATCTGAGCTCCAAGTGACAGAGCTTTCTCCCTCCAGCCCTGCTTGTACCCTAAAGAGGAAATCTTTGCAGCCTCCAAGGTCTCCGGAGACCCTGGGCCCAGTGACACATTTGGAGCCCAGCCTTTGGACTTAAATCCAAGCTCACCCCTTCCTGCGGGTGATTTGAGCCACCAGCAAGACCTCTCAGCCTGTGTTTCTCCCTCTGTAAAGCAGGGCTGCCACCACTCACCTCCCAGGGTCACCATGAATCTTCCATGAGGTCAAGTATGTAGGGAGTTCAGGGAAGAGGTGCTAACACTGAGCGTCAGAGGCCACTGGGAAGTTTGTACTGTTCTTCTCCTCCACAGAGCTCAGCCGGGGACCCATGACAGCCTGGTCACCTTTGGGCACACACACAGCCCCCTTTATTCCCACAAAATACCACCAATGGCCCTTGGATTGCAGAGGCCTTGTCTCTGAGGCCCACATTGGCCCTTTGCTGTGGGATCCGGGCCTTCCCCAACTCTGTAGGCTCTGAGTCATTCCAAGGGCTGCAGCAGCACTCCCCACCCAATCCCCCTTCGCAGACCTTGCCCTTTGCCACACCGAGCCCAGCTGGGCGCAGCACCAGGCATCTCCCCCATCATTCTCTGAGCAGTTCCCTCTGGAGTATGAACTTGTTTCTGAACAACAGACTCCCAACAGAGCAGAAGACTACACCATTGTTCTCCCCACTATGCAATGCCTTAGTCCCCGGCTCTGATGGCTTCTTGTCTTAATGATGAGTCCGTTTTTGGCTCAGCCTCTTAGGTGGTTTGGTGTACCACACCTGGAGTCCCAAAGAGTCCCTGAGTGTTCCTCACGGCACCTCCAGGTTAGAACTTGACATGGGGACTATGGACACCACTCAGATGCCTGGGTAGCAGCAAAAAACAATCAGCCATCACGGAAGACTCCTAGTGGACAGAGGAAGGGGATAGAAACCCAGCCAAGAAAGGAGATCTGGGCCCCTGGCTGAAAGGTGGTCAGGAGGCAGCCTCTCTGCCTGGGACTAGTACAAGTTGTCAGCACTACTCTGGTTACTGCACCTGCCATGACTCCTCTGTTGGGTCATCAGAGAGGCATGTGTGGCTATCACGTTTACCTGGAAGGCAGAGGAATATGCCCTCGGCCACCTGTGCTCTCTCCCCAGACCTCCCTCATGCACAGAGTCCACCCTTGAGGGTCCCCAGGACCAAGGGAACAAAGGAGATATGAACTGGCCTGTAAGCCCTCTCAAGGGCCTTGCCAACAGCCACCTGACCAGCCAGCAAGCGGCTCATTGGAAAAGCCACCAACAGGCTCAGAAACCCAGGGCCTCAGTCCCTTTAGACATCACAGTACAACACAGGACTGCAAGGAAAGAAGACTTAGGGCCAGCCACATGTGACACACTCACTCACACGTACACAGACACACGCACATTCACACAACCACTCACACACACATTCTCAAATACACAAATCACAAAGGCACAGGCACAGCTGCACTCACACCCTACCTGCACTCACACTCACACACATGTACCATGCACACACACATGCAATCACATGCCTTGTGCACACGTGCATGCTGGTGTGTGCAAGCGTGTCTTTATCAGGTGATGTGTTCTGCCACCTTCCAGGCCTCTGGTTGCCAGGGGATGTGGGTGCAGGCCCACATCCCGGTAGGTGTATCACGCTCCATGTTTTCACTCAGGCCCTGGTGGGGTGGTGGTGACATGGTGAGGTCCTCAAGGTGCAGAGGCAGGAGACCATGCTTGTCCATGGGAGGATCTTCTTCAAGGAACTCCCGTCCCCTTGCCAGCCAGGCCCTCGGGCTCCACTGCACCCTGTCTGCACTTCCTCATGGTGGCGCACAAATACCACATCAGCACCAGGCCCTCAGTGCCCTGTGGGCTCTCCTGAGAGGGGTCAGGGTGCTGGGCCTGAGACCAGGGCCAGAATGTGTTCAGCCACCTCTGGGTGAGGTCACAGTGACCCCAAGTGGTCACTTTGGTGAGGCACCCTCTAAACACAAGGTCGTTTCTGGGGCTTCGAGGGCAGGACAGTGGGAGTGGGCTGCAGAGACCCAAGCAGGAGAGGAAGGCGTCCACACACCTCCTCATGGAGTTGGGACACGGGAAGCCTGTCCCTTCTAGTGTTAAAAGCCTTGGGAAAGGGGCCCAGGAGAAAAATCAGCCAGGGATGTCTCAGCTTCTGCTTTGGCTTCTTCAGTAAGGAGCACTTGTTTAGAGAAAGCCCTTGTTTATAGAAATGGGGTGTGCCTGCAGGATGGGGCTGATGAGCCATGATCCTCATTAATTTCACTGGCAACAAGAAAGTTCCCTCTGAGAATGCGCGTTATTGCTATTCTTCTTTGCACGTATGGGTTTAGAATCAGGATGGAGTGGACAGCTCCTCTTGATACTTGAACATCATTTATACCCCAAAGAGCAAGGGTTATCCTCAAAAGCCTGCCTCATCCGGGGAGACCTGCAGAAACACCTTCTTATGCAAGAACCTTGGGGGCTTAGCTCTCCATTTAACCAACAAGTAGAGCCTGGCCTACCTGGTGAGATTTCAGGGGCCGTCAGAAGACCCCCTGTCTTCAAGTATCTCTCCATCTTTGAAATCTCTAGTTTTTCCAAATTACACCACTGGGAAATTTGCCTGTGGTGGGGTCTGATATTAGGTCCATGAATAATTTTAATAGATCTACTCTGGCACATGCTGTTCTCTCTGCCTAGAATGCCCTCCCCAGCCAACTGGGCACAAGACCCTTCAAAACCCAGTGCAGACATCCCCTCTTGGAAATCTCCCTACCACCAAGGGCACTATGCTACTTCTGCTTCATGTATATTTCTATACTGCATGCTGAAAAAAAAATGAGATCCTTTATCTTAAAGACCTAAGATTACAGTAAAGAGACAGACATGAAAACTAACAGTAACCACTGAAAACATGATTGCTATTGAAACTAATATATCAACTGCAAACTCCTTTGGGACAGGGTTCTCAGTTTGACCCTCTTGTGTAGGCAGGAATCCAGTGTGCTAGGGCCAACTCAATCCCTGTCCCCAGAGAGGGGACTTGAGCTTCGGCCCAGGGATTTGGGAGATGGAAGGGCTCATATTTCTTCATGCTCACCTGAGCCCAACCAAGGCTGCGGTCCACAAGCACCACACTCATGCTTTCGCTGAGCAAGAGACAGCAGTGACCGTTCTCAGGCCTCCTTCCCCCCGAATCACCCTGTTTTCCCCACTAGAAGCAGCAAGTGTGCGAGGAGGCTTCCTAAACAGGAGGGGAGGTGTTCTGCCTGTATGTCACCATAGCCCTTGCGGTGCAGGTGAGCTTTGCTCCTCTCGCTGCTCTCAGCCCTAATTTACCTATTACTGCTGACCCTGCCCCATTCTGACCCCCAAAGAACTCTTTTTCCTTCCTTCACCTAGCTTTCCGGCCCAACTCAAGTCCATTCTTGGACTCCAGCGTGTACTGATCCCATACCCCCTCTGCAGTGGCTCTTAGCAGCCCACAGTGTGGTACCCCATCACTCTCGAATTCCAAGTCACTTTGTCTAGTCCCCACTGCCAACCTATAGCACTCTTAGGGACAGGGACCAGAAAGAACGAGGGACTTGGGTTCTAAACCTGGCTTTCTCCAACACCAGCTTGGTGATCTTAATCAGGAATGGGCTTTTCAGAGCCCCCTTTCTCATGAGCAGAGTCCTCCCAGCAGAGCCACAGGAGAATTAAATAAGGTGCCCTGTGTGATCTCCAAGAAGTTGCAATTACAGCCGTGTTTGTTGCCATCAGAAACCCAAAACCTCTTCATTTTTCACCCCTTCTTCCCTCCCTCCCTTTCTTCTTCATTATACTTGTAGATTACCTTTTGCATGTCGCTCAGTGCTTGGCCTCTCATGGGTGCTCAGTAAATAATTAATTTGCTTTTTCAGTTCAGATTCTTTTGATTCCCGGAAGGGCAAGGGCAGTGACCATTCAGCTTGCTGGTATCCCCAGCCCACAGCCTTGTGCCTGCCACAAAGGATGACCTCAATAATATTTGTCAAGCAGATGACCTGTATGCTTGAGGGGTTCAGAGAAGCACAGGAAGGTGTGTGGGGAGAGTTGGGAACATGTCGACCTCCAGCCGGAACACGGGAAAGCCTATAGGGGATGGAGCACAGTGGCTTCCCATGAGATAAATTTTCTGAGGTTTGGTTGAGAAAGAGAACAGACCATCTATGTGCTGCCACTTGCAGGAGATGGATGGAAAGGTAAAGGAGGCGTTGGTGGAGAGCTAAGGGGTCTTTAAAGTAAGAAATCCCTAGGGGTCCTGGGAGCGCTGATGGAGGTGTCCTGGGTCTGTCTCCCGTACACATTGTCTTTTCCAGCAGAACTGCGTCTTACTTGCCGGCAAAGAGCAACAATTCAGTGATAGCGCAGGAAGAAAGCTGCGAACAATCAGAGGCAGGCAACAGGCACAAACCTAGAAGCGAGTCCCATTCCCCCTTCCCGAGGCAGGAGACCCGGGAGGGAGTGCTTCCAATTCTGCTCTGCCATCTTCTGGGAGAAGACGATTCGGTTGTGAATTATTGAACATTTCATTTAAGCTTCATAAATAAGAAACTCGGATGGAAACGTTGCATGTTAGATCCGTTTGGCAACATCTAATTTCTGTCTTTCTCCCTCAATCTGTCACCCTTCATCTACCGCGGAGAATTTCTACTTCGTTATAGGCAATTGAAGGTCTCAATCAGTTGCCTGAGAAGAGTAGTTTATGTCCCAAAGGTGATCTAATTTCTCCAACCAAGGATGTACCTGGGACTCACTGAACCTATTGACAGAAGTAAATGTGGGCTTTGAAAGGACCCGGGGTGTTGCAGTCCCTGCTCCATCTAGAGACAGGTGCGTCCTGAGCCAGGGAAAGCTCCACACTGACCCCTCGGCTCTGAATCTCTGGTTCCCGACAGAGTCCACAGGTTAAGCCTGAGCGACCCAACAACTACAGGTGTACCAAGGACCCCCCTGTGCCTGCCTAGGGTACTTTATATAGCTCTCAAGACCACCTACCCCAAAGGACTCAAAATCCTGGAGTAGTTTTCATTGCTAGGTAATAATAACACTGACTACTGTCACTATGGGCCAGGTGCTTAATCCTCACATAGATGGATCTTGGTATTATTCCCATTCTACAGAAGTTGAGACCTTAAGGTGGCAAGAATTCAGCTGTACCCTGTGGAAGGTGGCAGACCTCCATATAAAAACAGTGTGTCAGAATTCAACTTGACCTCCACTTTAGAGACACACCTGACATATTAGAGAAAGAAAGAACTAAGGGTTAGGAAAGTGGTCGAGCTGGTTCAGAAGTTGATCCTAATGCCTTCCAGACTGCATTCTTTCCATTCCTTCCAGGGAACGTGGCCAATACCACCAGGTAGTTTCTTCCACACGCACCGTGGAGGTGTGTAGAGTGTAGCCTGTACCAAAGCTGTTGTTGGAGGGGTCTGGTTACCATGCAGCCTTCCCCTTGACTAAACCAAGCCCATTTGTTAAAGGGGGATTGCTCAAAGCATCCCCTATCAAATTGGACTGACCTCAGGAATCTCAGGGCGGTCACAGCTGCCCTGGGAATCCAGCGAGTCTGGCAGCAGGAGATGGTGGGAGTGGAGGAGTGCTTCTCAATTCTCCTGAAAGCCCTGCACTCTCAGGCCAAAAAGTCTGGGAGTCATGGTTTCTAGCTTATCATAGACTTCTTCTGTGCCTCAATTTCTTTTTATAAAAAAAAAAAAAGGTATATTGAGTTGAATACCATTCTCTGACAATGCATGTCCACCAGAACCTGGAGAAGTGACCTCATTTGGAAACATGGCCTCTGGAGACGTAATCTAGTTAACATGAAGTCATACTGGATTAGTGCAGGCCCTAAACCCCATGATACTGGTGTTCTTGTCAGAGGAGAAGTCACACACACACGCACAGAGAATGCCATGGGACCCAGAGGCGGAGGGTGCGGTATTCAGAGGTCCTCCAAAGAATGCATTGCCAGAGAGAGGCCACAGAGCCTTCAGAGGGAGCACGGCCCTGCTGACCCTTGACTTCACACTTCCAGAACTTTCTGTAGTTTTAAGTAACCTGTTTGCAGGAATTTATAACAAAAGCCTCAGGAAACTAATATAGATGGAGAAAGCACAGCCCTCCCACCTCCCTCTCAAGGAGGTGGCGAGGCTCCAGGACACATTCAATTCTGAAAAGCATGAATTGTGTTATATCAGTGCAGGATAGCATTATAATAATCCATGGTTCTGGAGAGCCCACACAAGTCCCACAAAGAGCTTAGCAGGACTCGGAATGACCCTTGGAGATTCCAGGGGTGATCATTTGATCTGTTGCATTTTTCTACAATCACAGTCATGAAAGATGGACATGAGTCTGACCCCTGTGGTGGTAGATGGAATAATGGGCACAAGATGTCCACGTTCTAATCCCAAGCACTTATGAACATGTCATCTTACATGGCAAGAAGGGCTTTGTGGAGGTGGTGAATTAAAGATCTTGAGACGGGCAGGTTTTCCTGTACTGACCAGATGGATGCAGGGAGGTTGGAGTCAGAGCAGATGTGACAGTGGAAACTGAGATCAGAGAGAGAGAGAGAGAGAGAGGGAGAGAGGCGATAATGCTAAGCTGCTGGGCTTGATGAAGGATCAGGGGGCCGTGAGCCAAGGAATGCAGACAGCCTCTTGAAACTGAGATAGGCAGACAAGTGGCTCCTCCCACGAGCCCCCAGAAGGAGCGCAGCCCTGCTGAACCCTGTGGGTCTTCAGCTCTCCTGGACCAGGAGATCATAAATGTGTGAAGTTGTGGTAATTACTCAGTAAAAAACTAATACACCAGTCAAACAAGCTGGTCTGAAAATGAGTGTGCCAGAGGGTAGGAAGAGACCCCAGAGAATTCTGGGAACCCGGCCACAATCCTTAATAACAAAGCCCAGAAGGATGCCCTGAGAGGCACACGCCCTGTGGTCAGACAGTTCTGGCATTTCCGTCACCTCCAGGAGTTACCAGAAGTGGCTCTAAAGTGGGATCCATAGTGTTAAGCACTTTGGGCCTGCATTGCTGCATTGCTGATGTTGGGGGGAGCCTACTCTCCCCCAGTTTATGATTTAAGCAAGAAACCCCTTCACGAGTTCTAGCCAACTTGAGACTCTAAGTACAGAAGGAGACCTTCTAGAGATGACCATACCTCTGGAGGCCACTGACAAGAGCAGCCTCATTGCCTGTCCAAGACCAGCAGCAAGATGGAAGCTTTGCACTGGCCGGTTCATTCTGTTGGCTGGGACGGATTTCCTGAGCAGTGAAATGAGATTTACTAGGTAAAATTAGGAGCAGACTCAAGGAGGACGAAAGGTAAGATCTGAACAGGAGCCTGAGCTCATCTTCCTTCGCTCCAACCTTCCCACACCCTACCCCCAACACACGCACACTAATGTTTGCTTGTGCCTCTGCTGATAGATCTGATACCTGGCACCGAGTATGGAGTTGGAATATCTGCCGTCATGAACTCCCAACAAAGCGTGCCGGCCACCATGAATGCCAGGACAGGTGAGTAGGAGGGTGGTGCTGAGGGAGGCTAGGCAGCCCTGCAAGCCTGTAGAGCCATGGAAAGGAGGCATCTCCTGGCCCCCGAAAACAGGGCCCTGGTGACAGTTATCAACCTAGTGACAACAGCCACTGGATGTCCAATTCTAACATCAGACATGCAAGATAGAGTCCCACTCTCCCCATCATGGACCTGTGCTTGGTCCTCCAGACCTGAAGGGCTGCCCCAAGCAGTGCAGAGCCAAGGTGGAAAACCCCAGGTAGGTAGGCGCCACTGCAGCTCCATTTCTGTCTAGAACACCCACAGCAGGCAGAACAGGGCATCTGCAGTCTGCATCAAAAAAACCGTCCCTCCAAGAGGTCACTGTCATAGAGGTCTAACTTGGAAATAACCTATAAAATTCAAAGGTAGTAGAAAAATCCACTAGAGACCCTTGCTGCTCTGGAGCCAGAAGTTTTGCTTCCAAATCCTGAAGAAATCTCAGAGTTACTCCAGGAGCTTAGATACAAAACAGCCCGGGCAGGACTGGGCTGGGGATTTGGGACCAATCCCTGTTCCCGAGGTTCAGTGTAGCACAGACAACCTCACTGCCGAAGCCCAAGGACAAGGCTCTCCAGGAGTGCTCAGATCTGGCCACCTGTTAGCCAAGTCAAAGTGACTCGGGGACAAATGGGAGAGCCAGGGAAGCTACCACTGCCAGGAATGGGTACCCCTACTGGGCAGCGGCTCCTGTTGGCCTGCTGAGAAAGGCAGAGTGAAAATTAATATGAAGAACTTAAAAAACAGCAGCCAGCTTTGTCCCAGAGGTGGATGTATTCCAGTGGCGTTGGAGCTAATATTGCCTTTCTACAGATTATCTATCTCTTTGCCAAGACATTGGCCATCTTTCAAAAAGAAACTGCTTAACAAAATGTGAGACAAGTATCAGCAATGACAAGCTAAGGCTCACGGTCAGCAGGCCTACTGACAGCTGGGAAACACAGGGTAGTGCAGGGAAGACTGGTCATCCTGAGGAACCTCTATAAAATAAGCCACTTATGTTGATCCACAGAACTGGACAGTCCCCGAGACCTCATGGTGACAGCCTCCTCAGAGACCTCCATCTCCCTCATCTGGACCAAGGCCAGTGGCCCCATTGACCACTACCGAATTACCTTTACCCCATCCTCTGGGATTGCCTCTGAAGTCACTGTGCCCAAGGACAGAACCTCGTATACACTGACAGATCTGGAGCCTGGGGCAGAGTACATCATTTCCATCACCGCGGAGAGGGGTCGGCAGCAGAGCTTGGAGTCCACTGTGGACGCCTTCACAGGTACCAGGGCAGCAGAAGTCCCAGCCAGGTTCAGGGATCTGTGCATCTTAGTGGCAAGAAGGTCCTCCAAGCTGTCCACCCTTCCAAAGCCCCATTGCCTTCAGAGAAAGAGAGATGGGTTGAAAAAGAAGACATGGAGGAAAAATAAACAAGTATGTCAAGAGAGGATGGTTAGGAGTAAAGGGGGGGGGGGGCAGGGATGCCACATGCCTGGAAATTGGTGTCTGTTTCCTATGAGCCTGGACAAAGGAGCTGATCCTCTCCATCTTTCCCTGACCACACTCAGTCAGTGGGCACTCTGAGGACCCATGGATCACATTAAGTCCCTTCCAGGATGGAGTTCAAGTCCTGGACCAGTACCAAAGAGTTTTCTGGTTCTTATCTGAACTAACTCTTCAGTGTACAGTTTGGGAAAGGAAGGGTGGACAGCACTGGAGTGTGGGGAAGTGGAGCCCTGAGGAAGGACAGGAGCAGATCCTTGCAGTCAAGTGGCTCTTCTGACCCAACGGTCCCCACCTCATGTGTGTTTCAGAACCATCCACCTTCTGTGTTTTGCAGGCTTCCGCCCCATCTCCCACTTGCACTTTTCTCATGTGACCTCCTCCAGTGTCAACATCACCTGGAGTGACCCGTCTCCCCCAGCAGACAGACTCATTTTGAACTACAGCCCCCGGGATGAAGAGGAAGAGATGATGGAGGTCTCCTTGGATGCCACCAAGAGACACGCTGTCCTGAAGGGTCTGCAGCCAGCCACCGAGTATATCGTGAACCTGGTGGCTGTCCATGGCACAGTGACCTCAGAGCCCATCGTGGGCTCCATCACCACAGGTGAGGCTGAAAGACTGGGCAGCAGTGGGTGAAATTCAATAAAATTTCAAAAGGCGGCAGGGTTGACCTCTACAGCTAAAGAAGGTCGGTGAGCCATCCTGTTACTTCTTCCAGTCTTGCATTAGATTATAAGATAGGAAGCTCCTGTTTGGAGGGTAGGATAGACACAATGTCCTGAGGAGGTCAAGGCTTGAATGCATTGGTCTACAGGATCTACCTCTCCAGTAGAAAGCCCTGGAGAAAGCTAATCTCCCCCAAGGAACCTCGACAGTGAAGAGACATCTGTTCCTGGTTGGGAGAGCCACCTCTCAACTTCCCAGCAAGGCCACTGGTGCAGATGATGCTTCCTCAGAATCACACAGAAGGGACATGCAATCATGCAGGGCTGTCCTGACACTCAGGTGGACTCACACATTGTTTGGGAACACAGGCACACTGAGACCATCTGGATGGTGTCCACCTCATCATTCCCAAATGCAATTCCAAATATGAGGTGTTCGTGGGTAAGAAGGTGTGTGTTCTGGTAGTTTCCTACATTACTGACAAGAACTCACAAACTGGACGAGTGGGTTAAACACTCAGCTGATTTGACCTTGCAATTTCTTAGCAGTCAAAAAAATAAAAGTACCCAGCATAAATTAAATACAATTTAGGAAAGTGGATTTGTTCTGGACTTGTGCTCCAAAATCACTTTATAGTCAATAGGAAGTTTTTCCAAATAGAACCTAAGGTGGCTGCTAAAAAATAACAGATAAGAGCAAGTTGGGTTTTTTCCAAGAGAAGTTTACCCCAGAGAAAATAACTGTGTTATTCTAAATTCAAAACAAATGATGTGGACTTAAAAGAAAGTTCTGGTTGGCCTTTAGATGAATCGTATTTGCTGCACAGGTGCGGACCTTGCCACCTTGGCTTGGTGTTGTTTAAACCTTCTCCATGAGCACCACTTTGACCACATCTTATGGGTTTCAGGTGAAACATCAGCCTGACCATGGTATCCAGGCTGCCCCGTTATATCCCAGTGTTTTGTCTACCTCTTGGGCACATCAGCTCTTGGTCAACATAAAACTAGGAACAGAAATTCCTTTTTCACATCATGTTGTCTTGTCTTTTTCCCACCATCACCTGGGAATTTGTAGGAATTGACCCTCCCAAAGACATCACGATTAGCAACGTGACCAAGGACTCAGTGATGGTGTCCTGGAGCCCTCCTGTTGCATCTTTTGATTACTACCGAGTGTCATATCGACCCACCCAAGGTATTCAAGCAATTTGATTTCTCAAAGATTAATGGGGTTGGAGCTGGGTGGAAATTATTATGGGGAAAGTATTGTATCCCGATGGACATTAAGCCCTGCCTGTGTTCTTCCCCCTCCTGTGGCATGCTCCCTCAAAATGAGAATGTGTCCATGAGGAGCAGCCCAGAAACCCCTGTGCTTACCAACTCCTCTCAAAATAGGAGTGAGTACAGTCACCCAGACATCGGGCCCTTCACCAGCAGAGGAAGCTGGTCACCAGTATCTAGATTCTGCAATGAGATAAAAGAGCTCCTAACAGAATCTGCCGAGTGCCAGGACCATGCACTTTCCAGAGAGGGTAAAGCCCAAGACTAGAATCTCAAGAATAGCTGAAGACCCAGCAAAGCCAGAGCAGCTGTGATGTGGTCCTCGTCCTGCTGCTCCAGCCACGTTTTGAGTCAGGGGAAGTTGGCCCAGCCTGGCCTGCACCCTGGCATTCCTTGTTGGTGCACAAGGCACTGGTGATGAGGTGGGGTGTGCCCACTTCCTGTGGGGGGCAGGACAGCTTTCCAGGCTAGCCTGTCTCTGGGCTGCGCAGACCACTCTTCACAGCTACGCACTCTAAACTGATTCAATGTAATTGCCTCAAAGAAAACTGGGCTGTTAGAAAACCACCCAATAAATAGCTCATTTCTCTTTGTTCCAAGAAGCCCATAAAATGAAGGGATGGGACAAGCATGCAAGTTCTCTCTGAGCTTCAACATTTCCAGCCCATAAACCACTCGTTTCCCCCTCCTCACATCCAGTGCTGGGTCCCAAATCCATCTGTGCTTCATGACTCAGTGCCCCATGTAGACCGCACCCCTGATCACATTGATGAGGAAGCAGCAAGGTTTTAATGGTGGATTCTGCTCTTCCTTAGTAGGACGACTGGACAGCTCAGTGGTGCCCAACACAGTGACAGAATTCACCATCTCCAGGCTGCACCCAGCCACTGAATATGAAATCAGCCTCAACAGTGTGCGGGGCAGGGAGGAGAGCGAGCGCATCTGCACTCTGGTGCACACAGGTAGGCACGTCCCCCTGATGGCAGTGGACCCGCCATGGACTTAGGAGCCCAAGAGCAAAGTCGTGTGAGCTCACACCAAGAACCTTAGTTCTGGGCTCTGAGGTGCCATTCTCAGGCCTCCTCCCTGTGCCAGGAGGGACAGTTTGCGACTTCTCTCCCCACTGATGGTCTTGTCTAGTAATAGAATCTAGAGTCTCCCTGTTGGTGTCTTATTGGTTGAGATGAGGAACTTTCATGGAACTTCCAATATGAATAATGGCTGCTCAAGGACACACGATGCAGGTGAATTCCAGAACAGACAAGTCAATTATCCCATCTTACTTTTAAAAAGACTCAGGGAAGGAAATCTCACCTGAGAGAAGAAAACAGTTGTCACTCCAGTGACAGGAAGCTGGGGTCATGAGGTTCTTCATCATGTATGGCCAGAAGACACCAAGTGGCTGCCTTTGCTCATGCCTTTTGCTCCTGAGAGGAGCTGGCACCAGCGGCCATGAGCCCCTCACCCGTGGTGAAGGCAGTGGAGGTGACACAGCTCCACGTGGCATCCTGGGCCACCTGCAGGGGCACTCTGTAGCCCGAGTTCTCAATCAAGTCCTCCCATTAGACCCAGGTGCCTCCTGCCCCCGAGTCAGCTCCTGAGTAATGAGCTCCAGGATGGGAGGCAGAAGGGAGCCACCAGCTTGCCACACGGGAAAGTGGCCAAGGGAAGTCCCAATCCCAGTCTTCCTCCTAAAAAATGAGCCCATTGGATGAGCCTGAAGGCAAGGCCCCTTAGGCAGCTCCTCTGCCCCTCCCTCTCTGGCCCCTCTGACCGTGGACTCTGCAGAATCAGCAAAGGTTAGCTGTGGAAGTCACTAGAAGGCACAGCCCACGTTTTCTTCCAGACCACCTCCTAGTTAAGCCAGAGCACAGAGGAAAACATGCAGATGGCCTCGTTACGGGAACACCTGGGTTTCCCGAGGGTGCTTCATTCCCCTTGAGAATGGCATTTCCTGAATGAGGCAAATGTGCCTTGGAATTCCTCACTGCTTTTTCAAGCTCAGAAACAGCATCTCTTTTTTTGGCAATAGTTACACTTACACACACACACACACACACGATTTCACAAATGTGAAAAATTGTTCACCATCACAAGATAGCACAGAATATTCTACTCTTTCTTAGTCTCCTTGCAGGTCTATGACTATAGAAAACCTAGCCGTATTTTTTACTTCCATCTTACCCTGAATCATTGAAGTATCTGGTCAATAAATGTTGACCAGAAATAACATCCAATGAGTCAAAAGAAGCCCCCTTCCCACCTTCCTGAAAATTATGTTACAAAAATCCAACTTTTTCTCATTGAAAACAATGGATTTCAAGAACATCCTACCCTCAAGGTAAAAGAGAGCAGGAGCTTGAGTCAAAAATCTTCTTAAATTCTTAGCCATAAGCTTTAAGTATTTCTAAAGCAGATACGCAGTGGAACACCGGGCCAAGCCACCCCCCTTCAAGGTCAGGCAGAGTTATTTTGGCAACTGCCAGGAACTTGACTATGCTCAGAAGTGTCCTGGTTCATGGTTGTTTGTTGTTGCTGTTTTAACTTGAGGTCTATGAGCTTACGTCTTCTAGAAATAAGCACTCCTGCAGGGCGTGGTACTTGTCTCATGGTGTCATACACATCTCAGAAATCAAGCCAACTGAGGTCTAATAAGGGCTGCATTGGAAAAACTCTTGGAAACCACCAAGTATAGATAAAATTCAAATTTTTAAATCATAAAAAAATTTTCCTGGTTGTTGCTCTGTGATGAGAGACATAAGGAAGGAAAAAAAAATTATTCAATTAGAAAGCAGAGGTAGATGAGGAGCGGATCTTGGCTCCCCAAATAAATTGTATGACCTTTAGGTTGAGCCAATACCTTAACTGTTTTAATAACATCCATTTCTAAAATAAATCCCAATTTTATCCAACTTGATGGAAGGGAAGCAAAGTAATAAGGCAAAGGCTTATACAGCCTGGGCAAGTAAGAACAGACAGGTGATCATGTGACATCTCTGTGCCCCCACAGGCACTTGGCCTCCCGAAGGCTGCAAGAATCCCCTTGGCTCTCAGTGCCACAAAAGCCTGCCCTGGATCAGTCCAGAGTGAGCCTTGGGAGCAGTGAGCAGGAATTCAATAATCAGATATGACTTTGGAGGCTCCCGTACCCCATGCAGTCATCCGCAAGCACTCCCTGAGGACCTTTGAAGTTTCAGAGCTGGAGACACCCCTGCACTTCCACCACACTTCCTGAAGTGCATCAGAGATCTTTCCACAAGGCACAACCTAATGTCCATGAAAGAGCAATTAGACTTGGAAGAATGATTACCTCATTAATTGGAGAATCATAACAATTTCTGTAGGTTCCGAGTTTCTGCATCTAGATTTAAAGGTCTAAAACACAACAAGGATACATTGAAATCCCCCATAGCACCCGCCACATTGTTCTCCACTTAGGAAATTAATGGATGAATTAGAAAGGAGAGCTCGGGGCAATGGAGGTGGGGGCTGCACACGGGGCTGCGTACTTGAGAGCAAGGAGGAAAGGAGGCGAGAAGGAGCTGTTGGAGCCAGAAGACAGAAGGGAAAGAGGGCTCTGCTCACTTCACCCTGGCTCAACACAGCAGCAGACTGCGTCAGGGGCAGGCGGAACTTCTGGGCTGGGTTGAACTTCATCCTGCAGCTTTCTTACCTGCACTGACCGCTCCTGTTCCGTTCCAGCCATGGATAACCCTGTGGATCTGATCGCTACCAACATCACCCCCACGGAAGCCCTGCTGCAGTGGAAGGCTCCAGCCGGTGATGTGGAGAACTATGTCATTGTCCTCACACACTTCTCAGGTAAGGGTCTACGGGCTTATGCCTCAGGCAGGGGTGGTCAGGATTGGGGCTGAAGACCAGGATGGAAGGGAAGAAGCAAAGCATTTGGTGAGTCTGAGGGGCAAACTGGAAAATGTACCGCTTCAGTTATACCATAAAGACCTCAGGTTAGCCCCAAACTCTGCAAACTGCCAACTGTAGGACTTGCGAAAGCTGAATCTGAAAGGTGCAGGCAGGGCAATTGTGCAAACAGAGAAAGAACACTGGGAAAACAGCTCAGAACTGAGATAAATTTGCCCCAAAGCTCTAGAGACAAGAAAACAGACTTTTCTAGATATTTATAGAGCAAGAAAAACACTGAAATTATAGGACCAAGCCTGGAGCAGATAATAAGTGATAACAGGTGACAGAGGATTCAGAACTGCTAAGCTTTCCTGCTGGTGTGGTCTTCTCGCCCCATGTCCACCTCACAAGTTTGAACCGACGTGAAACCTTAAATTTAAATGTCCCCTTCATCATGCTTGTTCATCTCAAATTATTTGACATTGAATAGAGAAACCCAAAGCAAAATTGTGTACTTCAAGTCTCCTGCCTTGGGAAAATTGTTTCCCTGCCCGAATTAAACATGTGATCTCAGAATTGTTATGGGTTATATTCAGGAATCTAGTGAACGAAGATACCAGAAAACAGAAGGCAGGCAGATGCCTTGATTTTCAAAAATGGCAGAGAAAGCCAGTTCTGTAAACTGTAAAGAACTAAACTTATTGTCAAGTTTGGAAAAGTAAAAACTAAAACAGACTCTTAAACAGAATGGAAAGGGAATTCGTGATTACTGCATACCAACACAGGTTCACCAAGAATGAGTTTTGTCAAAGGCATTTTACACCCTTGCTTTTTACTGGCAAGTCCACCAGCACATTTGGGTTTCAGCAAGGCATTGGACAGCTCTGCCTATCACTTAGTTCTTCATTAAAATGGAAAAATGCATGATGCATTAAATTTGGAGTGAAAGGACCCTGCCCAAGAATGGATTTTGCTGCTGTGGCTGAGTCCTAGCCGACCCCTCTGTGTCCATCTGGGCACCCGCAGGCCCTCCGTGTCCTGATCTGGCATTTCTTAACTCTTGTCATGCTTTTTAGAGCCCCCCATGCATTAGCACATCTTTGTTTTTTTCCCTCCAAGAAATCCTCTCCCCATAGTTCTGCCTAGAAAACCCATCCTTCAAGTCTTCGTTTCAACACTGTTTGGTCAAAGATTTTTTGGTTGCCACAGGCAGTCAAATACACCTGTCCATAAACACAAAGCACACATCTCCATCAGAGCAATTTGTTTCTATTCATTCAACAAATGCTTCTGATACACCCTCATGGGCCACATGCTCGTCTCGGCTGGAAAGATTCAGGACCATGGCATGAGTTCTTGTTTTCATGGAACTCGCGTCTAGTGATGGTGCCGAGAAGGAAAAGTCACGGTCTCCTGTGAGCAGCGGGATGGTAGAGACAAGCACGCAACATGGTGGGCCACATCTGATGGATGCTAAAGGGAAGAGAGGAGGAAGGCCTCACATAAAGCAAAAGAAGGTGAAGAGAAGAAGAAAGGAATTCCAAGAAAAAGAGCAGCCTGTCTGCGTTTGCAGAGGTGTGGGAGAGGATAAGGAGTCTGAGGAAGCACCGTAGTCTGGTGTGATTGGAACAGTGATTGGGGGTGGGATGTTGAGGGGGAGATATTAAAACGATAGTCATTATGTATCTCTTCCAATTTTTTAAACTTGTCTGTGTGCCTTTCTGTGCCTTTAGACCACAATAAACTTAAAACATCAGGCCCTACCTAGTTGGGAGATGTGCCTAATAAACTTGGTTAAATGCTGAATGATTTGATAATATTCTAATTGCCTAATGGAGGGCTTGGCCCAGATCTAATGAACAATTTTATCAACAGCTTGAATGAACTCAGAGAGGACAAGCTTATTGAATTTGTGTATAAAACAAAACTGTGATTGATAGAATCCAAATTCAAATATATTTTAATCAAAATAAAGGTGGTCCAAAACTCAAACAGCAACAGTAAATGCAAAACTCTGTCCATGGGCCCAAAGAGCAAGTAGGCCAGGGCGGGTGGGGTGGTGATACACAAGGCCTTTCATTGGCAATAGGCTCAGCCTGGGATGATAGCACATGGCTGTCCTAAAACCCCTAAATTAATATGAATAGCAGAAATGGAGACAGAGACTGGCCCTGTTTGGTCAGTGAATTTTAATTATTCTCAATTCTCTTCTAAGCTTTGCATTCAGCAGGGACACTGCTAAACTTTGACTTGTTCAGAGAAAAGCATTCAGGACTGTTAAGATTTTAGAACTGTCACATGAATGTGATGGGAGGAGGAGGCTGAGTTTTGTTAGTCTGAAGAAGACAGCACTTGATTGTGAAAGGTGGTGGGGAGGAAAATGTCACATAAACCAAGGATTCAACTTATTCTTTGTGGTTCCAGAGAACTAGGCAGAAGACAGACAGAATTTACCCTCCATATAAAGTTTCTTATTTGTTTGTTTGTGTTGGGTTTTTTGTTTGTTGTTTGCTTGGGAAATCTCACCCTTCTTCCTACCTTTGGATGTGGGGTGAAGAGTTCCTATTGGAAGTGCAGGCTGCCATCTTGAAATCATGAACTATAAGGAATATTTTTCTCAGGATGTAATAGGATGTGAGAGGGGATCCTTTTTAAGACCAGGATACCAAGCTTGATAACTTATAAAGGAGATTTTCCAGACTTCTGTGGTACTGAATTCTTGTGAAGCTTTTAGATTTGGCAGGTCTTTCATAAATTGAGTAGTCCTACTCGGTCCTCACCCACATTCCTCTGATTTCAGTTGCTGGAGAGACCATCTTGGTTGATGGAGTCAGTGAGGAATTCCAGCTCATCGACCTGCTTCCGAGCACCCACTACACCGTCACCATGTATGCCACCAGTGGACCTCTCACCAGCAGCACCATCAGCACCAACTTTTCTACCCGTGAGTACTTGGTCATCTGCACACCTGGACTCTAGATCCTAGAAGTGACCCATTTCCTTATGGTGGGCTCAATTTCAGTCCACAGGCTTTGGGCAGTGCACCTCTGAGCTGTTATTTTGGCTGACTGTGTGGTCCGAATCCAATGAAAGTTTGCCATATCTCTTGGTCAACACATGTCTAGTTTCCTGCTCCCATCCTGGGTCTGTGTAATAGCAGTAAAACTCGGCCAAGAGAAGTAGACACTGGAAATGCATCTAACCCAGAGCAGTCCAACAGATATTAAAAATATACACTGCTATGACCCAGCTACTAGAAGGATGAGGCAGGAGGATCACAAGTTTGAGGCCAACCTCAGCAACTTAATGAAATCCTGTCTCAAACTAAAATTTAAAAGAGCTGGGATATAGCTCAGTGGTTGAGTGCTTGTCTAACATGTGTGAGGCCCTCCCTGGGTTCAATCCCCAGGACCTACCTATGGGGGAGACAGCTACTAACTAAGAAGGGTCATAACCAAGAGAACAGTAGACCAAGGTAAAAGGTGAGAATATTGTAAGTTCCAACATAAACTCACATGGTAGTTGGAAAGGATCATGGTCACAGGCTTAGAGGATCAGATGGGAAGATGTCACTCCCAGGCCCAGAGGCCTACGTGAGCAGAACAGGGAGTAGCTGCAAGAAAGATCACAGTGCTAAACGATTATCTTCTGACCCAGAAGCACCCTTTATGCTCCTGTCCACGCCAGAGCTGAGGGCAGCATGGGAGCAGCCCACAGAGGTGGGCAAGGAGATTTCGTGGCTGAAATCAAGCAGAGAGCAGCTGGAGATTCAGGCATCCCCTGGCATTTCCCTTCTTTGCAGTCCTGGACCCTCCCGCAAACCTGACTGCCAGTGAAGTCACCAGACAGAGCGCACTGATCTCCTGGCAGCCTCCCAGGGCGGAGATTGAGAATTATGTCCTAACGTACAGATCCACGGATGGAAGCCGCAAGGTAAGAATTTGCTGAAAGGGAGAAAGACCTCTTCTCCTAAGCAAGGCTGCGTGGAACTGGCCAGTGGAATGAGAGGGAGGGCAGGAAGCAATTAACAGGAAGCTGCTAGGTTTCCCGTGTTGGGGACAAAGGCTGCTGCCGAGAATGCTCAGCCAGGTGGCCCGGGTGTGGTCCTGGCTCTGCTGCTGCTCACCACACAGGCTGGGCAACACCCCAGCCCCCTCCCAGCCTCCCAGTCTTCTCCAGAGAAGCCACTCTGCAACTTCACCAGGTCTGGTTGAGCTTCCTGTATTGGGACGCAAACTTTGGAAACTTCCAACTACTTGGCGTTGGAATAAGTGATGGCTTCAGGGGCAAGCGAACGGGGGCTGGATCCCAGGTTCGACAGGCTTTTATGTCTTGTAAGCATTAGAAAGGCAACATCAACAAAACCCACCATAAAAAGATGATGAATCTTTGTCTTGGTCATCAGTGAAAATTATCCACTAGAGCACTGGTTTTGAAATTCTTGTTCTCAGTGGGATTCTTTTAAAAAGTGAAATCATATGCAGGGGACAAATATACAGGATAGACTGCAGCAGAGGTAGCCTATTTGATGGGATCAGGGAGGCCTAGGGTCCTGTTTGCTTACCTGCTTCTGCTCCTGAGCAAGTTCAGTGCAATCTGCAGGCCACTGGGTTCAGTAATCCAGGTACCTAAATTTATCCCAATGTGCATTTCTGAGATAGGAGCTGACCTAAATCTCACACGGGAGCTGGTCTCTGCTTACTGGCACATTTTTTTTCCTTCTGTGGGATGGTGGGGGCAGCAGTAGCCACTACAATGCTGACCCAGCTGGCCAAGGAGTTTGGACTTCCCTTCCCCACTTCCCACAGTGCAAGCCAGTCTCTCCCTTCCACCTCCCTTCCTCTGGCTTTGTGTAGGAGCTGATCGTGGATGCAGAGGACACCTGGATCCGGCTGGAGGGGCTGTTGGAGAACACCGACTACACCGTGCTCCTGCAGGCGGCCCAGGATGCCACCAGGAGCAGCATCACCTCCACTGCCTTCACCACAGGTGAGGAAGTCACGGCCACTTTGATGACTTCTCCCCTGGGTGACTTTGGCTCCTTAGAAGCCTCTGCTGAGACTTGCCCTGGGAGGAGCCTGACACAGAGATTCAGCTGCCTCCTCCTTCCTCCCACCTTCCCAAGGCTCTGCTAGGAAGCACCCCACTACAGGGTAGTCACAGGACACCCAAATCCCTGCTCCACCTGGACCAACTAATGCACCCCATAAAAGTTCCTTTGAGTTCCAATTTTCTGCATGTTTTTCCAGAAAAATTTTCCTACTTCTCTCCTTCCTCCCTGGCCTATACCTAGACTGAGCTGGTGTCAGGAACAGCGGTAAATCCTCAATATTAAATCTACAGCCCTTTTCCACCAGCAAAGTGGTTTTGCATCCAAAACTCTACTCAGTCCTTAAAACAACTGGCAAGGACAGTCTTTCTATCCTCATTTCGCCCACAATGATATGTGGTACATAGAAAATGAAAGACCTACGTGGCAAGTGAGTGGCAGGGTCCAAACCTAGACCCAGGTCTTCTACATCCAGCTGTCCCTCCTGCCTGCCCTCACTTCAGCCAGCAGAAGATACTTGTATCTGTAAGAGGAAACACCTGACATCCCCCCTTGAGCACTCGTCTCTGCCTGTCTTACTGCATCCCGTGTGTGATCCCAGTTAATCCTCACGCCCACCAATGTGGCATAGGCTGTTGATAAAGAGTCCTTTCTGCAATCTCCTATGACACCTCTCTAGTTGGCAACGTGGGACTGCCCAGCCCGGGCTGAATTCTCTCCCTGCCCCACATTCTGGGGATGTGGTGTGGGGCAAATGTGGGCTTTTTACCCCTAGTCGCATGGCTGCCTGCCTTCCTGAAGTACCAGTGTGGCTGGATCCCTGTCCCTGTCCGAGAACCTGTCCCTCCATCCCCAGAGAGGGGACAGGAACTCCCCCAGCCCCACTCCGGTGCATTCCCCTCAACACACCCATTCTGAAGGACAAAGCAGGACACTGTTGGAACGTGCCACCTCTACCCGTGGTCCTTTGGGAGTGAGGTCATGAATGAGTCCTCTTTGCCCTTCTTTTTCATACTGTTCAATACTTCACAAAGGGTCTTCAGTGAGCATATTAATCAGAAAAACAAATGTTTTAATTAAAAAATAAAAATAAACTGTGGTCATACAACCCAGACATGAATCCAAGACGAGTCTTTACCAAGTAGAACTTAGATGACGCTTGATCTCTGTTCAGGGACTAAAATCAATTACGCTGTTTCAGAGGTGTCTTAGCTGGAAACGAGGGTGCTGCCTCTTCTTGTTGGAGCCCCTCCCTGCACACTCACAGGTTAATTAAAGGTCCTCCGTGGTCCGCTTCCCCAAGCTACCTCTTAAAGATCCATGGGATGGAGCTTTCCACTGAATTAAGAATTTCTTTCCCATAAAAAGAACACAGATGACAGACACTTAAACGGAGCTCCCAATTTGCATATTTATGAGGTTAAACTAATCATTTTATTCCCCAAATGCATGGGCTTCAACACTTGCTCATTGTGGGATGCGCTTTTCATTCCCGTCCTGGGAGGCTACAGCTAGCTCTGGTGAGCAGTTGACTCTATGCCTGGAGCCTCTGTGGAGTCCTGCAGCTCTGCCTCACTGCAGACCCTCCCCTCCCGGGCTGTAGAAGTACACCAGCTCATGTGCCCATTGCTGGCCTCTCTTAGACACAATGCACTAAGGGATGTGCAAGAGTTTGGGTGTGGTGTTCCCGATCCAGCTGGGGGCTCAGCAGGATCAGGTAAGCCAGGGGTTCACAACTCACAGGGAGATATGGAGAGAGGCCAGGACGGTGACTTTATTTAGTGGACAGTGCAGGGGACTGACAAGATATATTTAAGTGTGTATGTGAGTATGTAGGTAGGTGGGTGGGTAGATGTGGGTGTGTCTACGTGTGTTTGCAAGACTTTGGCTGACACTGGCTCCGGGGGGCATGATCAACATCAACAAAGAAAGGAGAAAACTAAAGAGTCCAATTTCCCGATGCAGTGAGGGTAGTCACTAACTGAGCTGCTTGCTCATGTACAGTTGGGGAACTTGGCACTACCACCACAGTACCTAGGAAAGCAGTATCCATGTTTGGAAGTTTTTGCAGTTTTACTAGACAGCTTAAATTTAAATGTCAGTAGCTGATGAGTACCAACTTGCTGGCTTTGTCTTGGAAATTTATCAGAACCCACTGAAACAACTGGTTGCAGAATGGAAAACTCTTGGGCAGAAATAATGCATTAGAAATGACCTTCATAAAGCTGTGACAGACCTAATAGATGTTGACTAAATTAAATCCTAGCTGCAAAGTACCAAAGAGGGGGTCTCTAGTGAAACAAAGCTAAAAGGACGAGGAAAAGACTAGTACCCTCCACAGGGTTGGCACAGGTAGAGAGGTGCAGCCTGCAGAGTCCAATGCCCAAAGTCCTCATTTTGAGCTCTGTCTACCACTGAAATGCAAATTTCCCTAAATAAATAACACTAGGCTACATTGTCACTTGCATGTTAATATTAATGAAGGCTCTTTGCCTGTGCCAGTCCCTTCTGCTCCGCTTTTCTGCCCCTGCCAAGAGCAAGTTTTATTAAGGAGGAAGAGAATACAAGGTTCTCTGCTTCCTAAGGGCAGGGTGAATATGGTACCAAAAAGAGAAATAAGCAAATCAGAAAAGCAAAGTCTCTTCACTTACATGCAAGATTGGAACCCTGCCAGCCGGGCCCCAAGAGCATGAACTACTCCTGCCCAGCAAGTCTGTGGAACGGAAGAGCCTGCGTGAAGGCAACCAGGGCAGAGGGATTTAGAGGCTGGTTGTTTTGAGCAGTTAGCATGCCATCTGACTTCACTGTCAGTAGGGGAGTTTCCCTCTTAACTGCATCATATTCTGAGGGTGGGCAGATCCCACTCACCATTCTGTGTGCTTTCTAGGCCTTCTCTGATGAAGAGTGGCCTCAATCCACTGAACAATTCCTCGCCTTGTCCCAGGTGGACCAAGATAAGAGATCAGTTCAAAATAGGCCTGTCCAAGATGACCTGGAAAAGAGTTGATATCCCAAAAAACAATAATAAAAATAGAAAAGAGAGAGAAGAGAAGAGCTGGTCTCAAAACCTCCAACACCTTTGATCAAGGTGTTTTCCCCGCTGTGTTGATGCCACAGAACATAAGCCCATTTCATTCTTTCCATCATGTTAATAGCTTCCTGTCCTCTTGTCGCTGGTGTTTGCACAGGACTCTGGGGGGAATTAAATACAAGTATATGGAAGAGAAAAAAATATGGATACATTATTTATAATCTATTGTCGCCTGAAATTTCATCCAAGGTCTGCTTGTCTTTTGGAGACATGAATATAAATGAGGAAACAAATATTCCCCACGGAGCCACGGGGACTTGGTACAATGATCTTCTGAGAGGCAGGTTTCACTGTCTCTTTTAATACTATAAAAAGCAAACAAGTCTCTCGCTAAAGCTCATCCTCGGAGACAATGAACACTGTAAGATAGGTTGCCTTGACCTTGAGGTTAAGCGAAGACAATCATTGGCAGAGGTGCCCAGAGACAGGTAAGAAGAAATTTTCTCTCCTTACCTTTGCTCCAGTCCTGGCTGTCCCACATCCAGGCTGAGCGGCTCTGTGGGCTGGAAAACTCGTCCTCTCTAAACACTAGCTTCAGTTTTTGAGATTGAGAAAATTAATGAAGATTACCAAATTGTAGGCTCTGGAACAACAGATGGTGGGTCTTGGAAATTCACACGCTTACCATAGATTTCAGTTGGATGGGAAAGCCTGACACCAGTCCCCCACCGTGTCTACCTGGTGTACCCCGAGTATCCCCTCTCCAAAGAAGAGAGCTAATAGGGTTCTCTCTGTGGCACTACGTAAAAACAGCTTGAGTTCTTCACCAAGACAAGCAAACCCCTAAAATGACAGGTCCCCCTTCTCCTTTCTTTGAGACCTGGCTGTGGAGAAGGAAGGTGGTCACACCCCACACCACGTGCAGATGAATAAATGTCAGTCAGAGGTTTGCACTGACTGCACTGCCCAGCTTGCTGTGTATCCCCAACGCCAGCCTCCACAAGATCCCTCTCTGGGTTCACTCACTGTTTCCCTTCGCCGCATGGCTCCCCCTTCCAATGTAACCATTCTAATGTGTTTGCGTGCCTTTCTGAAAAATGTGTACCAGTAAAATGGTCTTGAGTCTAATTTAAACACATTTAAATGGGCCTGGATCACACAAGTCAGTCCCTGTTCTCATATATATATATATATTTTACTCAGCACTTTTTCTAGACCATCCATGTTGTTAGACAAATATTTTTGCTTCCAGCAGTTGCAAAGTACTGCATGATATAAGTACCTATCGCATTTTACCGATTCCACTCTCCCAAAGAGGTCCATCCGGCCCTCTCCAACCTTCCACCACCCGAGTGTGGCTTGGTAAACGCCTCCTGTGTGTCGGCTTGTGGATCAGTGAGGCGACGCCTCTGGGTTACACCTCAGGAGAGCGATGGCTGGGTCAGGAATGAGTTGCCTCCACATAACTAAGCATTGCTCTGGGGCTGCCCGTTCCCCCCAGTGGGCCGGGCTCCTGTTGCTCACGGCCTTCGTCATTCCTGATGACTTGACGTGGTCCAGCTATGTCATTTTTGACAGTCTCCTGTGTGTAACTGAGGTAGCATTGTTCTAATCAACTTCTGTAAATAATGATGAGCTTGAGTTTAAACGTCTCTCCATATGCTTGTTAGCCTTTTGAGCTTCTTTTTCCTGATACCTGATCGTCTGGTTTGTGCACTTTTCTATCAGGTTCCGATAGGATTAGCAATTAATGTTTGAGCTTTGGGAGTCTTAAGAAGTTTTCAGTGTATTCCTCTAATTGCTTTCTAGATTTATCTTTTATATTCAGTCTATTTTGTATGTGGTCTTAAGTAGGGATACAGTTTCATTTTTATTTCTAGAGTGAACCAGCTTTACTAACATGATATA